GATTGTTATTATCCCCTTGAAACCAACGGTGAATGTGGGAACTGAGGCCTGTCCCCACCCCGTGGGCTCGTCTGAGCTCTTGTGTGATGACTTTAATTCAGAATATATCCCGATTAAACGTTAAAACGGTGGACCACATTAATAATAATCCTTGCGTTTGATATAGCACCTTATCACGTCTTTGAGACGTCTCAAAGCGCTTCACAAAATATACTAACAAGTGAATTGACTGTATGTGTTGCGAGCGGAAGGTGGTTAAGCTCCCACAGGGCTTCCCAGAGCTGAGCAGCGAGCTCCTCTCCCACCGTCCTGGCCAGCAATCTTCCAGATAAAATCGTTCATTCGTCCCGCAGCTGTTGGTGAGACATTGCTGCGTACGATTTATCTACTTTCACGCCATCCTTTGCGCTGGATCCTGTGAATTCCTTCTAGACGTTTCAGTGATGCGAAAGGCGCTGCATCAAATGCAAGGATTAACGTTGTTGTCATTGTTACCAAACTCCAGTCTCGGTGAATGTATTCGTTTATGATTCAATATTAATCCTCGCAGATCCTTGACATGGGGCTGTCGTGTACGTGTGTGTGTGCGTCTGCGCCCGTTTGGTGGGGGTGGGGGGTTGTTTGAGGGGCGATTGAGAAGGCGCGTCGCATCCTAGCATGGTACGGGGGTGGTGGGGGAAGGGAGGGAGTTTGGATTTGCTCTAAAAGTTAGATTTCTTTCCTTCCTTCAGTTTAATGTGGTGGGGTTCGCTGTGCCGGTGCGACCACACACACATTCCAGCTCCTTTCCTTGTCTCTCGTTCACGAGCTGAAACCTGTTTGGCAGTCCCTCTGGCGTCTGGGAACGTAAATTCCCGGTGCGCGGTTTGCCACATTGTCCAATTCAGTTGGTGTTAGTCTGGCGCGTTATTGACACTCCTGCCTCTGAGTCAGAAGATTGTGGGTTCAAGCCCCACATCGGGACTCGGAGTCACATCGTTGCGCTCCACAAATGGCAATGGAGTGAGCCGACAATTTCATTTGGGTGGGGGGGGTGGGGTGGGGGCGGGGGATTGTTGGCCAGCACACCGAGAGAGAGAGAGAGAGAGAGAGAGGCCCTGTCTGCCTATTCAGGTGGACGTTAGGGAGTTTGTCTCTCCCGGTGTCCAGGCCAACAGTTCCCCCCCCCCCCCCCAAGAAATTGGTCGCTCAACAATATACACAGTCACTACACTTTCCACAATATTTCTATGTTTCGTTTCAAATCAATGGGGTCACTTTGAATTAACCGAAACTCCCTGATCCTGGGGGAGGAAGGGAAGGGAAGGGGGTGGGGGGGAAGTCTAAGGATATATAACACATAAGTGGTTCAGACGTCTCGAAGACGCGATAAGGCCCTATAACAAATGCAAGGATTATTATTATTTTTTTTAAAAAACGTTCAGACGATGGGAAATACAGGTTTGCAGGGTTTCTGAGAAGGGAAACTTAGATGACATTGTAATCAACTGCTGCAAACTAAGACAGGAAATTCCCTTTCTGCAGGCATGTGCACGAAATGGCCTGTCAAACGATGTAGNTTTTTTTCAGGGAGGGAGGGAGAGAGGGAACGCAAGCCTTTCCTGGCCTGTGAGGATGTTATCTGAGGAATGCCATTTGTCAGGGTTGAATAATGTTGGAATGAAACTCTGGAATTCCTTTTTTTTTTGCTTAATTGCCTTTGTGGGGCCCAGTCGAGAGCTTGTGATTTTTGCTGAGCCGAGTCTGTGGCCGTTCACCTTGTTCTATCCCATGTTTGGACTTTATTTCCCGTGGCTCAATGGTTAGACCGCTCGCCTCGCAAGCAAGAGGAACTGGGTGCGATTCCCGGGCAGGGCATGCTTCCTTATTCCACACGCCTCTGTTTTATCTCGCAGTTAGTAAGAACCTGGTTGTTAGTCGATTGGCAGATCACTTTCCGGGGCTAATAATCAACAAATTTAGTCACTCAAGCCACAACTATTTGTGGGACGCTGCTGTGCGCAGTTATCTGCCAAGTTTCGCCCACAATATACACAGTCAATCCACTTTACATTAGATTCTGTGAAGTGTTGCGAGACGTGTCAATGATGTGATAAGGCGGTCAATCAAATGCAAGGATTATTATTATTTAAACCCTTGAAGCGCTTTGAGATGTCGTCCCAAATGCGAAAGGCTCAGTGACAAATTTGATGTTTTTTTATTATTAGAATTTTTTTTCACAGAAGGGAATTTCTCTTTCCCGGTGTCCTGGCCAACAATCCCACAGAGAGAGAAAAAAACATTACTTGTTCACTTCAAGGCTGTTTGCGAGATGTTGCTCCGTGCAAATTGGCTGCTGTGTTTGTCCGCAAAAACACACAGTCACTGCACTTTACAGTAAACCTCTGTGAAGCACTTTGAGACGTCCCCATAACTGCTAAGACTGTGTACCAAATGCAAGGATTACGTCGATTCTTTATGACAATTCTTGCATTTGATATCAGCTGCGGTGTTAAAAATGGCACAAAACGCTTCGCAGAACTTTTCCCGCAAAAGTGTAGTGACTGTGTATTTTGTAGGCACAGGAATGCAGCAGCCAATTTGTTCTGCAAAAACAGTCTCGGAAGTAAGTGAGCAGTTTTATTTGGGGGTGGGGGGTGGGATTGTCGGCCAGGACAGGGCCAAGAGAATCAAATTGGGTTCCCGCTCAGTGAAACACTTTGAGACGTTCTCCCTGTGTGAAAGGTGCTGTTGATTAAGTGTGAGTTTAATGTCCGCCCGGTTAGGATGGTGCTTCTGACCAAGTGGCGGCTCCTTCCCCCGTCCCCACCTCGAGCCTTGTGCACAACGCCGGTCTGGACTGTGAGATCCATCCGGGTTTTCTGCCGATCTGCGGCCCAGACTGGCTGCCGGGAGAGAGAGCTCGGAGCGTGTGTGTCTGTCTCTCTCTGTCTGTCTGTCTGTCGTGGGATTTTCCCGGCGCTAAGCACCGTTGCCAAAACCACAGAGGAAGAGGAATATTATGCCTTTTATTTATGGAGAGGCTGGAGGGGGTGGTGGGGGGGGGGGGGGAAGGAGGCGGGAGGGGGAGGGAATTACTTTGAAAAGTCTCCGATGCACAACATTGCAGAGAACCAAACTAATCTGCGTGTCACCTCCCCCGCCAGGCAACTCGTATTAATCAATTGTCACCTTGTTGTGTTGGCAGGAGGTTTCCTCTGGCTTTGGCAAGGGCGAGAGGCTGTGTCGCTGGGGATGTGGGGGTCTGGGCGTCCGGTGTTCCTGGGTGGGGGCGAACTTGACTCGCCCGCATTCCTCAGGGAAGCTCTGCTCCTGGAGATCTTATCAGAAGAGCTGGGAATCGGGCATCTCGACTCCTCGGATTCTAGTAATCCTTAAACAACGGCAGCTCGTGTTTGTGTAGGGCCCTCACGCCTCGGCGCACTTTGCTTTTCTAACGCCCTCCTCTCTAATCCTTCGCCCCCATCCCCTGAGCTTCGCCGTCAATTCCCAGAGCCCGAGTGACGCAGCCACTCGTCCTTCTGGGGCTGCGGTCACTTTGTCTCTCTTTGGTCCCGAGCAACAGCCCAGGCTTCAGAGAGTTAAGAGGACGAGTGAGAATGGGGAGGAGGGAGAGGGTGGGGGGGGGGGGGAGAGAGAGCTTTTGCTCCCCTTCTCCCTTGCCCGGGGTGTACACTCACTCCTGTCTACGAGTACATGAACACTTCCGCCCTTCACTCACCGACTCCCAGCTTTGCTGAGTCCCCGGTCCACCCCTCCGTCACCTCCTCCTCTGGACTACTCAAACGCCCTGTTCCCTCCCTGCAATATGCCCTACACTGCCTCCGCTCGACGAGCCTTTGCTTTCAGGTCGAGCTTGGAGATCTTCCTTTTCGACCGTGTCTGGTGTGGTCACCTCCTCGGCGGCCACCTTGCTCTGTATCAGGCTCCGCCACTGTTCAGCGCTCCGAGGCACCCGTCTGGCGCAAAGGGCGCTATACAAACGCAACATCACATCGGCCCCGCTCCCAGTCTGCCTTGTGTTTAATTACAGCCCTTCTGTTTCTCAAGTCAATCCGCTCTATGGCACTCTTCTCTATTTAACTCCCGATGGGTCGGCCCTGGCTCTCAGTTCTGGTTGAACGCCTGAGTTTTGAGTTGGTTTGTTTTATAAAAGCCAAAAAAACAACCTCACAATTACCCTTTTTACAGTCTCGGAGCCGCAGGTTTTCTGCTGCGCGAAAGTTTCACCCGGTTGCCGTTTTTCCTGGGTTGTTTTTTTTTCCCCCCCCCAAAAAAAATCCCCAAGTTCTCCATCTCCACTCCCAAAGGCAGAACTGTGACGGGTCAGGGTTTAGTTTCTGTTTTGCCCCTTCCCCTTCTGCCCCTTCCCCCACTTTCTAGCCCACAGGTGGTGAATATCTGGTCTGAATCCTGATTCAGTTGCTCACACTCTGAGACGGAAGATTTTTGTTAGGTCAGGGCATCAAGGGATGTGATGTAATACCCTGCGTGAAGAGCGCTATATAAATGCAAGTTGTTGTTGTTGAATGGCCTCTTCCTGTTCCATGTTCCTATATTCAAGCCCCAAGTTGGGACTTTGAGCTCACAGTCCAGGATGACACTCCAGTGCAGTGCTGAGGGGGGAGAGAGAGCACCGTGTTGTCGAGATGTAAATCGAGGTCTTGTTCAGGTGGACGTTAAAAGAATCTGTTAGAATCTGAAGACGTCCCAACGCCATGATACGGGGGTTATATCAATTGCAGGGATTATTATTATTATTATTATCATTATTATCCCGCGGCATATACGATCCACGTGGAGGGGGGGCGTATGTATGGGGAACTGTTCCACAAACAGTCGTGGGTTGAGTGACCAAATCGTTATGTTTTATTTCGAAGGGATTGTTACCCCCGGACAATCGAGTGCCCTAACTGCTAAGCTATAGGAGTCGACTGGACTGTGATGATAAAATCCGTGTCTTAACTTTTCTCCCTCTTGTCTTTCTTTTTGTCTTCCAGTTCTGGCACAAGGCATGCTTCCACTGCGAAGTCTGCAAGATGACTTTAAACATGAAGAATTACAAAGGTTACGATAAGAAGCCCTACTGCAACTCGTACGTACCTCCACTCTAACCCCCTCCCTACACCCCCTCCGTGGTATTCAGTGAGGGGTTCATAACTAATGTGATACATGGGTGGGTGTGTGTGTGTCTCTCTCTCTCTCTCTCTCTCTTCTCTCTCTCTCGAAGGCGTGTGTATTCCAGAAACTGCCCATTTCACCCTTAAACACACGTCCTCTTGTTCTACGCACTGGACTGTCAGAAAGTATTCAGGGTTTTTGGTCGGTGAGTGTCTTGACATCGCCGGAAACCCACATCGTGTTTATCGGTCCCTAAAGTAGACAGATAGTTCCGCAAATGTACATCACCTACACGTGCAAATATCCCTGCGTCTGGGATGGAATGCGCGCACTCTCTCTTTTTCTCCCTGGAGGGAAAGCACAGGCGCTATAGAAATTTGTCTTGTAATAATATCGATGCTGACGAAAGGCACATTTTTCTACTAAACTGCAGCCACAGGACAGAGGCAAAGCAATCAACAACAACAACAACAACAACAAAGGGTTAGGGTCAGGAGGATGTCCCAAGGTGCTGGACAGACAGAGTTATAGAGTCGACCAGGAATTTGGCATCAACGTGGAGAAATCACAGGTCATATTCACCCCACAAGTGCATTATGTGGAGGCCTGTAGCTCAGTGGTTAGAGCGCTCTCCTCTCAAACGAGAGACCTGGGTTTGATTCCCGGCCGGGCGAAACCTTGGGAAAGTTTCCTTACTCCACACGCCTGATAGTAATCCCTCAAGAAAACAATTACAATAATAAATTGGTCATTTCAATCCACGACTGTTTGTGGGACACTGCTGTGCCTTACTGGCTGCCCTGTTTCTCCCACGAATAAACAGTCAATTCCCTTTACGGTCTGTTTTGTGAAGCGCTTTGAGACGTACAGAAGTCGTGAGAAGCGCCGTATCAAATGCGAGGATTATTATTATATATTTATTATGCATTAACCCTTTGAAAAGTAACATGAGTTGAGCAAAGCAAACGTGAACATCGGAATCCCTCTTTCTAGGTAAATCTAGGAGAACGTGTGCGTTTTAGGGGGTGGGGGGGGGGGGGGCGTGTGGTAACTGCTGGAGTTTAACCAGTTAAAGCCGTACAGTTTGCCCAGTGAGAGCTCCGCGTGGTGAGGTTCCTGCTGCTCGTCCAGCTGGCTGGCGAGTGATGTCTGAGTTTATCTTCACCGCCTGCGAGACCCCTTTAGTACCGGGATGTCTGGCTTTGGAGACCGAGCCTTTTGAGGCTCGCCACGGCTTGCGTTGTCCCGTCAGGAGCCCCGCGTGTGGGCAGCGAGGCTCTCATTGGCATCTTGCCTCTGGCAGTGATTCGAATCGACCTGCGTGTAATTGTGCTTAACAATAAGAGACCCAGAGGCATTGTTAACGGCAGGAGTGGTCACCGAGGCCTTGACCTCAGCGGAGGCGTTAGCAGTCACTTATTTCCTGATCTGGTTCCCAAGACAACACTTCCTCTGTTAGCCAGCAATTGTGTGCCCGGCCTCGCCCTCGTCCCCTCCGCCCAGTCCGTCGCTGGGCGCAGCTGAGATCCACCGATCGACTAATAACCGGGTTAACTAGAGAGAGAGAGAGAGAGAGAGAGAGAGATAGAGGGCTTAAAGGGGTTTGGGGATAGGACAGAGCAGTGGGTTGGTGGAGGCTCAACAACAATTTACGTTAATATAGCGCCCTCCATGCAGGGTAGCTTCACGGTGGCAAAGTCCGCCAATGACTGGATGGGCTGAGTGACTCGTTTGCGTGTCAGTGTCTGATTCTCTGACCGACGGAGGCTCAGTAAAACCTGTTATCTTGCTTCCTGTTGCCTGCTTTGCAATGGTGACTCGCCTGAATGGTTCTCAATCTGCTCCGAAACCCAAGCTCAGGGTGGGGCGATCCGAAGAAAGGCCATTGAAGTTGACCTGATCTCAATCCCCCCATTTGTAAGCGGTTCATTTTCCACTGGGGGTGGGGGAACGAGGGGGGTGTGGGGGGACTGTTAAATATAGCTTGTTACATTGACGTAAGGTTCTCTCAGTTCTACTTTCAGACTATATAGATTTTGACCCATCCCCCTCCTCTCCCCCAGTAATAATAATTAATAAAATTAATCATAATAATCCTCGCATTTGTTATAGCCCCTTTCAACGTCGGGCAGGGATGTCCAAGTGCTTCACAGGATTAAAGTGTAGTGACTGTAGGCGAACACCGTAGGCGATGCGCACTCAACAAAGTGCCCACAAGTTGCGATGAAGTGAGTGACCATTTTATTGAGGGGGTGTGTGTGTGTGTGTGGTTAGGGTTAGGCTACAGCTCACCCAGCGCTGTGCTGGAAAGTCGGCCTGGATTGTGAGCTCAAAGTCCTGATGCGCTGTGATATCCATATCTTTATCGCTGGCTAATTATCTCTGCTCGATATCCTGGCAGTCCTGATCATAATCTCGGAGGCCTGAATGAGCACACAGTGCCATTATTCACTTAGTAGCTTTGCGGATGATTCCTGGATGTCAGCACCGAGTACCTGCTGATAACAAAATATAATTTTATTCAGATTTTATTCCAGCCGTGACTTAAATCCTCCGCAACAAAGCGCGAGCCGCTCGCATCAAGTCATTTCAGCGCCAGTAATTCCCTTATCTCTCTCCCTCTCTTATCTCTCGTGCGATATGAGCTGTGTGCCGTGTTTGGTTTGGTTTGCAGCCTGCGTGCTTTCGGGCTGCGGGTTTCCAGTCGCACTCGAGTGTCGTAATCTCGCGTGTCGGCGCAGGTGCACAGCCGGGAACTAATTGAGGTGTTCCGATGACCTCTGGAACTGCCGCGTGGCTACGCGTAGACAGTAAATCATTCCGAGCGTCCAGATTAGATTGAAAGCGCACCATCGCTCTCCTGGTTACCTCGCCTCCTCCTGCTTCCCTTTGCGGTGGGTTGTCCTGTGTGAGCTGGGTCCTGGTTGATCTATATTGACCACCCCCACCCCCCCCCCCCCCACCACACTGAGATCAGCTGATCGAGAGTTTTACTCGTGACTAAGTGGGTCTGACTGCAATCCGAGAGTCGACCGGTGACCGATTTATACTTTGATTCATAAACTCCCGACTCAGCCGCCGTTGGTGATTATTATTACTAACAACATTAGTAATCCTTGCATTTGATTTATGACCTCTCAAAGCGCTTCACAGAATACGCCGTGAAGTGAATCGACTGTATATATTGTGGGCGAAACGTGCGCCCATCAGCGTCCCACAAACCGTCGTGGATTGAGTGATCAGTACCCTGAACCACCGGGTTCCTACGTACTGATGGGTTAACGGAGAGGTGTGGCTTTAGCAATCCTGCTCTCAGAAAGCGAGCTGTAGCCTCGTTCGCCTCAGAGCCAGAGGTTTTCCGTCGCCCTTGTTGAGGAAGTGACAGCATCGCGATTGAGATGCTGTGGCTTGGGCTGAGCCCCACTGTCAGCCAAGCTCGGGGCCTGGGGGCAGGGAACCACAAACCAGGTGTCGACGCTGAGCTGTACATAGAGGTGCAGTCAGCACTTGGCACAGGAAACCAGCCCTCGCCCTCTCGGGAGGGTGGATTTAACTCGGCCGTCCAGTGTCCTGGTTGCTAAATGAATCACTCGTTGGCGACAATTCATCTTACCCCCCCCCAGCGCCGCATTGAGCGGATTGATTTCAAGGTCCTCATTCGTATATTTAAACCCCTTCACGTCCCTGGGCCATTTAGGAGCGGAATCAGGAGGCAGTAATGGAAATCTGGAATTCTCTCCCCCCCCCCCCCCCCCCCCAAAAGGCTGTGGATGCTACATTTATTCACACCTTCAAGACTGAGGTAGTTAGATATTTGCTACATCACGGTATTAAGGGATATGAGGCAAGGGTGGATGACTGGAGTTGAGGTACAGATCAGCGATGGTCTTATAGAATGGCGGAACAGGCTCGAGAGGCTGAATGGCCAACTCCTGTTCCTATGTTTCTATCTGAGCTTGACAATTCCCCCCCACCCCATTCCCCCCCTCCCCCCCCCCCCCCCCCACCCCCCTGGGCTTTTCCGGAGCACAGGGTGGGATTTGATCGTCTGTTTCCCAGGCTTTTCCAAGCTCTGCTGCTTAATGTCTGGAGCCATAATTACGGTGTAAATGGCCGGAAAAGCGCCTTTTCCCCCTGGGGCGGGAGCTGGGAATTGTTTGGTTTACTCTGGCTTCTGTATCTCGGAGCTGCCGGGGTTCCACGCCAGCCTGTGTTATTCCCAGCTTGAAAACAGGAAGTGTTTCATTCGGCTTTCACACAGGCATCTTATCTTCCCCTCGTTGTTTATTCGTTCGTTCCTTTTCTTATGTTCTTGAGGGAGGAGGTTCCCTCCTTCCCTTCCCCATTAGAGATCATTTCTCGAAACGTACTTCTTCCGGTAGTACTTTCGGTTATTTGCCCCCCTCCCCCCCCCCCCCCCACTCACCCACTCCTCTCCCACCCCCATCCCTGTTGTATCAAACCCCTCTGTAGATTGGTGTATTGTGTTTAAACGCTGCTTTTGTTAAAGGATACAGCGCCTTCTGTATCTATGGGGTGGGGGTGGGATGTACTCTGGGGTTCCCAAGCCTTGGCTCTTGTCAACCTGCGCCTAATACTCTCCGGAATTGGGTAACCAGGGTGCATCCCTCCAGGGAGAGAGAGAGAGAGAGAGAGAGAGAGCGCATTCCATTCCAACAGTCTATCGCTGGAGTTTCCATGTGTAGGTGGGATGCATGCAATTCTCAGCTTAGTTTGGAGACTGTTAAGGTGATGGGTTTCCACACGTGTCAGACACCCGGCAGAGCAAAAGTCTCTTTGAGGACGGCTCGAGGGGTTTCACAAGGTTTACTGGATGGAGAGTGTAGTGACCGTGTGTTTTATAGGCAAATCGGTCTGTGGGCTGGGAATTTCTCTGTGCCTCGAAAACAGAACGCAGCAGCCTGTACCACATCATCAACGCAACATCTTGCATTTATACAGCGCCCTTCACACAGGGCAGTGTCCAGGGAGCATTTGACAGTGGCGGAGTCTGACCCCCAGTCAGGGGGAGAGGGAGGGGGGGAGGTGACCGTAAGCACGATCGAAAAGGAAGGTCTTTAGGCGGGATTTAAAAGTGGGGAGGAGGGGGGTGGGGTGGGGGGGGTAAGGCGGAGGGATTGAGGGAGAGAGTTCCAGAGTTTTGAGGCTAAATGTCTTAACAACAACAACAACAACAACAAGATTCCATTTATTGAGCGCCTTTCACGTCGGGAGGACGTCCCATAGTAACGTAGTCTGATCGATTCCAGAATGGGCCTCGAGTCCGGTTCCAAACCAACTTTACGTGGCGAAGGTCTCAACGTACTGAGGAGCTGTTCTTTGCATGTCGTGCGTGTGCGTGCGTGTGTGTGCGTGGTGCGCTAGTGTGGGCATGTGCGTGTGGAAATACTGTATCTTGCTCTTTACTTCCTGAGTGGCTTGCTTAGTTTGGTGACCGAGAGATTAAAATACATCAACGTCTACCAAAAGTGGCCTTGCTCTTGCAATTGCCAGTGTGCACACAGACAGATACCCTCCCCTTCTCCGCACCCCAGCTATAGCTCCTCGGGGCATCACGCTCAGGCACTGCGTGTAGAAAGCACACACTTGTGTACATGCACACACACTCACGCACACACACACACACACACACAGGTCAGTCGAGCGCTCACAGTCTCTGGATTGTGGAGCTCAGCGGATAGAGCGATCACCTCGCAGGCGAGGGTACCCGGGGCTCGATTCCCGGCAGCGCAAAAGGTTAGGCGAGTGTCCTTATTCCGCACAAACACACGCCTCCTGTTTACCTGGCAGTCGGTAGGAACCCCCGGTCGTTAAGCCGATTGGCAGCTCGCTTTCCGGGGGGGGTGGGTGATAATTCCTTGCAAAAAAAAAAAAATATGGTCACTCAATCCACGACTGGGCATGGGACGGGGCTGCGCACAATTGGCTGCTGGTTTTTGGCCACAAAATATACACTTTACAGTACATTCTGTGAAGCGCTTGGAGACGTCTCAAAGGATTATTATTATTATTATCCCTGTTGTCCCCTGACGATGGTTTGGGAGGGTGAGATTGTGAGATTTCTTTGCGGGTAACGCACATCCCGAGAGCTGTACGTGTCACCCTTTATGTGTCACCCGTGCAGTTAATATAACTAGGTCATTACTTGGCTTTTTTTTAATATTAAAAGAAATGATCGCATTAACTCAGAGGGTTGATGGGAGGATTCCTGACGTCAGTCGGTCGGTCGGTCAGTCAGCCCTGTTTCCTCCAACTTGCGTGTTAATGTTAATGCTCGTATGAAAGTGCTGAGGAATTAGTGTGTGAGCGAGCGCAGTCACTGAGGGAAAGGCTGGGGCCCAAAACAAAAGCCAAAAGAGCTACAGGCAAATGAGCTGAACTACATATGACACTTGGCAGCGAATTCAAAGTCCGTAAAAGGGGCACCGCCCGCCGCTGACTCACGTTGCATTGCGTTATAATTGTGCGTGTCTCCCCGACACACTGCATAGCAATGGCGAGCCACACGGTTTTAGCTGGTAAAACCCCAGCGGTTCTTCCTTCCTCTCTCTGCATTCCTCTTGGGTGAGAGAGAGAGAGAGAGAGAGTGTGTGTGCATCCCATTCAGGTCGCAGAGAAATTTCCACGTGTAGATGACGTGCGCACTCATACTGGTTTGGAGACTCTTAAGCAAGCTGATGGGTTTCCGCTTGTCAGACGCTCGGCTGAGCAAAAGAAAGGTGTTTTTTTTACAGTGTTACTGGGGAGGATGTCATTGTCACCAAGGACGAGCTGTCTCTGCCTCTCTCCCTCTCTCTGTCTGTGCGTCTCTCTCTTTCATTCATTCTTTTGTGTGTGTGTGTGTGTGTGTGGTTGAGAGTCACATTTACTGAGTCCTTAACCGCAGCGCTGTGAGCAGAGCTAGTTGGGGACGTTCACTCATCACCACAGGATGTGCAGCCCGAAACGTTCAGCAAGAATTGAATATATAGACTATGTAAAAACCACAGCAGATTGCAAGCCGGTCCTCTCCTCCGCGCTCCTTTCCACCCCTCACTCTCCCAGAGAGAGACAGACACACAATCCTCACTCTGTGCTGTTGGGCAGTCTTAGCTCCTTTTAACTCCCCTTCGGTCTGGTTAATCGACGCTTAACGACATCAGCAACTTGTATTTATGGCCAAAATCACTCCATTTGGGAGACACTGTTGCACACAACTGGCTGCCACGATTCGCCCACAAGATACAGTCACTGTCCTTTACAATATATCCTGTGAAGGTCTTTGAGACGTCTCAACGACGTGATAAGGCGCTATATCAAATGCACGGATTAGCGTCCAGTAGTCCTGAACAGTGGCTTAGTTCGGCACCGAGCTGGGGGGGGGGGGGGAGAGAGAGAGAGAGAGAGGGGGAGGTGATGGTAGGTGTGGTCGAAGAAGAAAGTCTTAAGGTGCGGTCTGAAGACTGGTTTTAAAAAAAAGTCTTGGGGGAGGGGAGGGGGCGATACAAGTCGTGACAGAGGTTCGGGCTCAGTGGCAAATGGTCGTTGTGTCAAATGTCAAATGGTAACACAGTCAGAGTGGATCTAACTTTAATGGCATTTGGTTGACAGCGATGATCCTTTTAGGACGTTGTGTTGGAGAGGTTGTTGTATGTTTGGAGTGGAGTCCTGTAGTTCAGTGGTTGGAGCACTCGCCTCGCGAGCTACAGACCTGGGTTCGATTCCCGGGCGGGGCGAAATGTTGGGCAAGTTTCCTTACTCCACGTGCCTCTGTTTACCCAGCAGTAAGTTAGAAACCCAGTTGTTAGTCGATTGGCAGATCGCTTTTCCCGGGGGTAATGATTCATCCCCCCCGAAAAATTGGTCATTCAATCCATGACCGTTTGTGGGACGCTGCTGTGTGCAATTGGCACCAGCCGCAGCTTTCTTCTTCCCATCACTGACCCGCCGCTCTTCAGAGATTCACCCCCCACTTCCCCCGGCCCCCCCGCCTGCCCCCCACCCTCCCCGCCCCCCCCCATCCAAGCAGTGACTCATTGCACAGTGTCCCTATGATAATATTGGCTGCTGCTTTGGCCTTCCCTATAGTCCCTCTTGTTTCACAGGAAAATCCTGTGGAGCCCTTCGAGACGTCCTCCCGACGTATCGTATGCGAAGATTATTATTCTTTTTATTTAGAACAATAATAATAATCCTTGGATTTGATGTAGCGCCTCATCACGTCTTCGAGACGTCTCAAAGCGCTTCACAGAATGTACTATAAAGCGTAGTGACTGTGCATTTTTGGGGCGAAACAGACCTGTGGAGGATGTGCACAGTCTGACACAGGATTTACTGTGAAGTGGAGTGTTAGATGCTTGTCGGCAAACAAGGCAGCCAATTGCACACAGCAGTGTCCCCACAAACAGCCGTGGATTGAGTGACCAAATTATTATTCTCATTTTTTTTTTGAAGGGGTTATTACCCCCGGAAAAGCCGTCCGCCAATCGACTAACAACCGGGTTCCTACTTACTGCGAGGTGAACACAGCCGTGTGGAGTAAGGAAACTTACCTAAGGTTCCACCCTGCGGGGAATCGAACCCAGGTCCTCCCGCTTGCGAGGCGAGTGCTCTCAACCACGGAGCTACAGGACTTAACGCCAATTCAGCAAACCTAAATACTTCACCGAGACTTCAACCAATTCATTGGCGGGAATAATAATAATAAAAAAAAAGCTTGAATCCAAATCAATTTTGAGTTCAGGTCAGTCATAACCCGACAGTTTATCTTATTTTTATTTGATGAAAGATTTTAGAGACACGGTTTCTATTGATGATTCTCTCCCAAGTAGCTCTGGGGCGCTACCCTCGGGGGGCGCGGTGTGAAAGCGGGCTGTTGTTGTTGTTGTTGTTGTTGTTGTTAACGGTGTTGTCTTGCTTCCTCTCCTCCCCAGGCACTACCCCAAACAGTCCTTCACCAGCGTGGCTGACACCCCAGAGAACCTGCGTCTCAAACAGCAGACTGAGCTGCAGAGCCAGGTAAGGCAGGCCGGGGCTGAGCGGGGAGTGGGGTGGGGAGCAGCGGGGGGTGGGGGTGGGGGGGGGAGGGGGTAGGGTGCTGTGCGACCCGTCTGATCTCAGACTGGCTCCGTCTCTCGCCCTCTCCCCTCCCGGTGGCTGAGTTGCGGAGACTGGGAGCTCACGGTCCAGCCTGACCTGCTGTTCCGGTCCAGTCGGTGCTGGTGTGGGGGGGGGAAAGGTTTCTCACTTTGTGGCTGTTTGTGGGGATGTCGCTGTGCACAGATTGGCCCCTGCGTTGGCTCACAAAACGCACAGTCACTACACGTTGCAGCCCATTACCTTGCTTGGTTTGTATTCCCCTGTGCTGTTGCAGTGATGTGTGAACGTGTGTGGGTGTCTTTCGGTGTCTCGCCGACTCTCTCTGTTTCTCTCCCGCGGTGTCTGTCTCTCTGCCTGTGGCTCTCTGGTCTGCAAAACACAGCTCAGTCAGTGACGTAGACTCATTTCCCTGCACCCCCCCCACCCCCCCCGCGCCCCCCGGCTGCTGATTCAGAACCAATGACCCGAACATCATTTAACAAACGTAAAGAGCTGGGAACCAGCCTTTCACGCGGGCGGGAGTGTGTGCGAGTTGCCGAGAGAGAGAGAAAATCCCTGGCCACAATAACACGGCGTGGACTGTGTGTCTTTTTGTGGGGGTGATGGGGGTGGGGGGGAATTCTATTTGACAGAAGTGGTTGGGTTCTAAGCCCCGGATAAGGGACTTTGAGCTTACAGTCCAAGGCTGACACTCCTGCCTATCCTCCCCCAATGCCACATTGCAAGGATTATTGACTTTTTGTTTTGTGTGACACACGCAGATGCCCATCACCGTGATCAGCCGGGTGTCTGACACACTCGGAAACACGTTACCGTGATCAGCCGGGTGTCTGACACACTCGGAAACACGTTACCGTGATCAGCCGGGTGTCTGACACACTCGGAAACACGTTACCGTGATCAGCCGGGTGTCTGACACACTCGGAAACACGTTACCGTGATCAGCCGGGTGTCTGACACACTCGGAAACACGTCACCGTGATCAGCCGGGTGTCTGACACACTCGGAAACACGTTACCGTGATCAGCCGGGTGTCTGACACACTCGGAAACACGTTACCGTGATCAGCCGGGTGTCTGACACACTCGGAAACACGTTACCGTGATCAGCCGGGTGTCTGACACACTCGGAAACACGTTACCGTGATCAGCCGGGTGTCTGACACACTCGGAAACACGTCACCGTGATCAGCCGGGTGTCTGACACACTCGGAAACACGTTACCGTGATCAGCCGGGTGTTTGACACACTCGGAAACACGCTACCGTGATCAGCCGGGTGTCTGACACACTCGGAAACACGTCACCGTGATCAGCCGGGTGTCTGACACACTCGGAAACACGTCACCGTGATCAGCCGGGTGTCTGACACACTCGGAAACACGTCACCGTGATCAGCCGGGTGTCTGACACACTCGGAAACACGTTACCGTGATCAGCCGGGTGTCTGACACACTCGGAAACACGTTACCGTGATCAGCCGGGTGTCTGACACACTCGGAAACACGTTACCGTGATCAGCCGGGTGTCTGACACACTCGGAAACACGTTACCGTGATCAGCCGGGTGTCTGACACACTCGGAAACACGTTACCGTGATCAGCCGGGTGTCTGACACACTCGGAAACACGTTACCGTGATCAGCCGGGTGTCTGACACACTCGGAAACACGTTACCGTGATCAGCCGGGTGTCTGACACACTCGGAAACACGTTACCGTGATCAGCCGGGTGTCTGACACACTCGGAAACACGTTACCGTGATCAGCCGGGTGTCTGACACACTCGGAAACACGTTACCGTGATCAGCCGGGTGTCTGACACACTCGGAAACACGTCACCGTGATCAGCCGGGTGTCTGACACACGTGGAAACCCATCGCCATGTTTTGAGTATCCGATCTAGACCGAATTTCAGCGCTGCCACCTACACATGGAAATTCCCAGACTCTCTCTCCCCATAGGGATACTCCTAGAGCTGGAGAGTATTAGGTGCAGGTTGGGGCATGGTGTGTGCGTGATGGGGCGGGGGGGGGGGGGGGTGGGGTGTAGTGGGGGGGGAAGGGAATTAATCCAGTGTGTGCGTTGGGGTGACTGATGGCAGTTTAACCAGCTAATGCAATCTGTACAGTGCTGTCTGTACACACCTGTGTGTCTGCTGCGATCTGATGTGATGGGGGTACAGAGTTTTGTGTGGGGGCGTATCTGGGCTCAGTGTTGAGCGGACAAGGGGACGGGGTTGGTGCAGTGTGTGGAGGGGGGGGGGGGTGCGCGGGTGCTGAATCGAGGGGTTAGGTTGTGTTCGTTTGTGGGTGGTGGTGAGGGGGAGAGAGAGAGAGAGAGAAAACTAGAGCTGCCAACAGAGATGTCAGCCGTCAGAGTGGAAATCCTAATCCATTTTTTATTAATCGCGCAAACTGTGATAAACCCAGTGCTGATGCCGGATTACGGAGACGCTGTTGTGGAGGTTGGCGAGTTATCTTCTTAACCGTTTAAAGCCGCTACCTTGATATTTGAACTGAAGCGAGCGCATTGTCCGGATCCTGGTCTGATCTGCGACAGCAGCTGAGAGAGCGCGAGCGAGAGAGAGAGAGAGAGAGAGAGAGAGAGAGCAAGAGAGCGAGAGCAGACAGACAGACAAACCTGGCACAGAATCAGTCGGTGCATTTTGCAGGCAGATGGGACTTTGGTACCGATTGCTAAAGCTGATGCACGATAACTGCTGCAACGTCTCAGAGCACTTCATGGCTAATTGCTGACAACACGACACCCGTTCCACCTCCCCCCATAACGTCTCAGATGTGGGGCTCGAACGCCTGATCGGAGGCCAGAGCGTTACCCGCTCTTCCATTCATTTCAAACCCTCCGCTGTCTCTCCTCCTGCCTACCTCTTCGACCTGTTAAAACTGCTCAGTGGGTGGAAGAAGACGAGGTGGCCGTGGGGACAAAAGCTGGTCCGAGTCGGAAGGGGTGGGGGTAGGGATTAAGAGAGGTCGCTGGGGGTAGGGAACTGTGAATTGGCTACAGGGTGTTGGGGGGGGTTCGTGCTACAGTCTTAAATTAATTTGCTAAAGAGCAACTGTCACCCGTTTGCGTGGAAATCGACAGCTTAACGTCAGTGCACAAAGCCACAGATATTTCCAGGCCAATTCGCAGCATCCAGTGTGACTTTTTTGGAACGCTTTCGAACATTCGCTGTCTTGTCACCTTTCTCCCTTTTTTTTTTGCTGAGTTTATCACTGGGTCTTTGGCTCCAGTTGTGGGTTTGAGCACCGCGCACTGAAACCTCAGGTCACAGCCTGGGCTGCTCAGGCTCTGAGCAAGGTGGGTGGGTGGGTGGGGGGTTCGGGGGTCGGGGTTGGGGTGGGGGGGGACACCCATCTGGGCTGCAGTGCTTTTGGTAAAGATCCCATGGCACTGTTGAAAAAGAGAAGTGAGGTTCTCCAGATGTCTTGGCCAATAGTATGTGTGGGTGTGTGGGTGTCCCTCTGTGTGTGTGTGTGTGTCCCTCTCTGTATGTGTGTGTGTGGGTGGGGTGGGGGGAGTGTGTGTGTGTGTTTCCTTCTGTGTGTGTGTCTGATTAATTTCTGCCTTTCGGATGAGACTTTAAGCCGAGTTCCCTTCTGTACCCGATTCAGGAGGACAGTCCCGAGTATTGTAATTGGAAAAGAGAGGGGAGTTTCTCTCTCTCTCTCTCTCTCTCTCTCTCTCTCTCTCTCTCTCTCTCTCTCCCCCCCCCCAGTGTCCTGGCCAGCAATCTCCGGATAAAATCAATCATTCACTTCACAGCAGTTTGGAGGACGTTACTGAGTGCAAATTGGCTGCTGCGTTTACATACAATACCCAGTGACTACATCTTAGTGCAGTGTAGTGAGTGTCGCTCTGTTTGTGTGTGTATGTGTGTGTGTGTGTATGTGTGTGTGTGTACGTGTGTCTCTCACGAGACATTTTCCGAAACTTGATCAGGCTAAGCCCAGTTTCTAAGCCCAGTTTTCCCCGACAGTGTGACAAGGGGGCCTTTGAATTGGTGCCTTTCACTCACCGGATGCCTCAAGCCCTGACCGAGGGCAAGTATTGGATTGGTATCGGCCCCCACCCCACCCCCCGCCCCTCCCGTTCCCTCAGCCATTCCTGTAAATCGGCTGACTGAACCTTAATTGTTTCTTCGTCCCATGTTTTTATCAGTAGATCAGCATTCCAGTCAAAATGTGGAATAGAAATGAAACATTTACCGCACCCCGGTCATTCATTAACTTGCCAACCCGGCATTAACGCAGTCCACCTGGCTTTTCTGCTCCTTGTCCCATGCACCTCCCCCCACGACATTGTCCTTACCTTCACTTTCTCCCCCAGTTACTGGATTATCTCCCCACCGCCCCAATTACTCACCAAAGTGGCCCTTCCTCACGTGTCTGCACTGGCTACTAACTTCCTCCCTCCACAAATCACTAAATTAAATTCGCTGGAGGGCAGGGAGAGACGCTTCCCACTCAGTGCCTGTTAACCCTACAAGCCGAAGCCCTCGTGGGTTGGGTTGGTCCTAGCTGGACAAGCAGCGGGAGAGCTGGCCAGGCAATGGCAAGCTGAGTGGTTTTAGCAGGTTAGACTCCAGCACACGCTGAGGTCCCCAGGCCTTGGCTCTTTCCAACCTGTGCCTAATACGTCCCTCCAGAGAGAGAGAGCACATTCTATTCCAACAATCTCTCTCTGGGATCTCCACGTGTAGGTGGGATGCATGGAATTCTCAGCTTGGGTTGTGGATGCTCTTAAGCAACGGTGATAGTTTTCTGCATGAATCGGACATCCCACTGGAGCTCTCGACTCTAATCCCAATCCCTGCTCTTTGCCTGCAGTGTTCCGTAGCACAGTATTTTTCTTTCTGCTTTTATTCAATTCCCTTTTAAATGCTGCCAAATATTAAATGAATTCCATGAGGTTACCTTGCTCTGTTGATGTCGGTGTGTGGGCCGCGGTTGCTAATGGTGACTAGAGTGTGAAAGACTATTGTTCTGAATCTTTCTCTCTGACGTTGTGTGAAACAGAACTGAACCTGGCTTGTTTCATCGCCCCCTCAATGGGTCTATTGTGCGCCATGTGTAAAGAATGTACAGGGGGAATTAAAAGTGCCTATAAATACTGGAATTAACCAGTGAAGAGGCTTGGTTGGTTACATAAATCATTTTAATTAACGGCAGTCACAACTCCCTCTTTCCCCACGGTGCATAATAATCCAGTGAAACTCTGAGAACCTAAGCCCCTGGGTAACTAGTCACCCGCACATAACTAATCACTCGTTCAATATCCCAGCTAGTCGAGTACTTTCGAAGTAGTCAGCTCAAATTACTACTCACCAGAGTTGTTTCCCTTCGGCCGACGAGTTATCAGAGTTTCGCTGTAATAATTAATAATAATGGCATTTGAGACGACGCCTTTTATGACAGGAGGATGTCTCAAAACGCATCACAGGGTATACTGGAAAGAGTAGTGACTGTGTATTTTGTAGACGAGTATGAAAGCTCATTTATGCACGATGACCACACAGACCCTGTACACACTAACTGACTGCTGTGTTTGCCTACTTGTACACGTAGTCTACGATGACCCTCCAATGCAGTGCCGGGGGGTGTTGCGTTGTCAGTAGGTGTCATCCTTTGGATGAGACGTTAACCCGAGGTCCCGTCTACCTGTTCAGGTGGGTGTTAAAGACCCCACTCGAAAAGAGAAGGGAGATTCTCTCTCCCGGTATCCTGGCCAACAAATTCCCTCACTCCGTGGCTGTTTGTGGGACATGGCTGTGCGCAAACTGGCTGCCTCATCCGCTCATTAAATGTACAGTCACTGCACCTTACAGTAAATCCTGTGAAGCGCTTTGAGACGTCTCAACGACGGGATGAGGCTTTATATCCAATGTGAGGATTGCTATTGAAATACACAATCCCTACGGTGATCTCAAAGCCTATCCATTCCTTGGATAGGCTTTGAGATGCTTCAGTGACGTGATGAGATGCTGCATGAAATGCATGGATTATTGTAAATTAATCTCCTGTCGCTGAGAAAGATCGCTGCTCCTTGACCAACTCTTCTCTACCAAGATGGTGGCGTGGGTTAGTTGAGTCCAAGATCTTCCTGCTGTAATCCTGCTGTCAGGACTGTGAGAGCACTGAAATGTGTGCCTGATATTCCCGTTCCAATGTGGGTCACTAGCCTTTAATTACAAAGTCCGTGCTGACCTTAATCACACGCCCGACACAATCTGTTCCGTGGGGGGCCTGCAAATTGGACGCCCTGCACTATCGAGCTCTGTCTGCTGGGGTTTAGCTGTTAATTCCACGCACCATCCCGTTACGATGAAAGAATCGAGCCACCCTAACACCATCGTGCCTGGCTCTGTTAGGTTGGGTTGGGATTTGTGTTCCCACAAATTTGTGTTGGGCTTTGCTGTAGTTGGGTTACCATGATTGGATTGGAGAGAGAGAGAGAGAGAGAGAGTGCGAGAGAGGAAGTTTGAGATGCCAGGTTCTGTATCCGAGGTTCTATTGAATGAGCAACAGATATTATAATAATAATAATAATAATAATAATAAATCGTTGCCTTTAATTCCACCCCTTTCACATAAGCAGGACATCTCACAGGATTCACTGTGAAGTGTGACTGACGACTGTTTGTTGGGGAACGTGGCAGCCCAATTTGCGCACAGCAACGATTTTATCTCGGGAGGTCGTCGGAGAGAGAGAAAATTCCCTTCTCTATTCAAACAGCGAGGTCTTTAACATCCGTCTGAACAAGGCACAGACGGGATCTTGGTGAACTGTAACGGGGGGTGGGGGGGGAGAGGGTCAAGAGATCATTATCTCCGTGACACAAGTTGTGGCTCGGGACATAGAAAGTTAGGTGAAAGGGTCAGTCTCCACTTCTGTGAGCAAACTGATTCATCAAAGGGACAACAGAAAAAAAATCAATTTGGTGAAACGGGTCTTTCACAGACGTCTGGCCCCGGATGCTCCTAAAGTCGCTTTCAGAGTTGGGCCTTTGTTTCCGATGAATGAATTTGAACAAGAAATTCGCAGAAATGAACCCGACCGGTCAGCCCCATTGCTCCCCCCTCCTCCCCCCCCCACCCGGCTAGACTGTGAGGGTTGCGGCCCCAGTTCGTAATCAGCTTCCATTCCTCAGTACAGGGTTCGTGCCGAGTCTCTTTACTTAACCGCAATTTACAATTGCGACTGCCTGGGACTAACTGTAAGTTAACGCACTCGACAGCCGTATGAAGCGATGTGCGCAATTGGCTGCCGGGTTTCGCTTCACGAAATACGACGACTTGCCTTGATATAGCGCCCTCGAGCGCTCTCGATCCGCAGTCAATCCACTTTGCAGTATATCCCCTGAAGGGCTTTGAGATGTGTCGACGACCTGATAAGGTGCTATATCAAATGCGAGGATTATTATTATTATTAATATTTCAGCGCCCTTCACGGAGGGTAGCATCTCGGAGCGACTCACAAGGATGGGTTGAGACCCTGAGCAGGAGAGTGTGGGAAGGGGGAAGGTGATCGTAGACACGATAGGTTTTGAGGTGGGATGCAAAGACATGGAGGGGAGGGGACAAGATCGAAGGGTGGAGACTGATGGAGGGTGAGGGGGGAGCAAGATCGAGGTTCGGGGCATAGAATCTGGAAGCTCAGCCCCCAATGGTGGGGCTGAGAGAATGGGGGCCATGCAGTCAGCCCGAGGAAGGAGATGCAGAGAGAGTCTGACAGCGGAAACTACTGCTCTCATCTCTCCCATGTTAATTCTCAGCTATTCGAAGGGTCGAGTTATCGTTTGGGCCGATGTCTCTGAGTTCAAATATCATGGATTGTGCGGCCATCCTGGAAACAGGCGGGTGGGGTGGGGTGGGTGGGTGGGTGGGGTGGGTGGGGGGGCAAGAGGGAAGGAGAGGCAATTTGTTAATTGAGTCGTTCTCACTGGAATGCCTTCGACAGCTCTTATTTCGATCGTATCCATTTCTACTGGGACCTTCGTTGGATTCCAACGCGACTTTTCGGGTGTGAGGTGATTACCGTAAAGTGTAGAGACTGTGTGTCTCGTGAATGTTTGGTTACAGTCACTGCCCTTTACCGTAACTGTGAAGCGCTCCTCCTGACACAAAAGACGGCCAGCGATATATCTATCGTATGTAAGGATTATTAATGATAATTATTATTATTACTATTTAAAAGCCTCCTTTTGTTTTTGAATGAAAAAGATCACTTGAAGCAAACGGACAGCGAAGGGGGGGGGGGGGGAAGAAAAAAACCCACTGCAATTCTCTTTTTTGCCCCTGCTCGGGTTGTGATCGTGAAAGGGCCAGTTGTTGAGGTCAGAGGATTTGTGAGTCTGGTCAGCGATTGAGAAAGGGTTCGCTCCACTGGGAGCCCTCACGCACATTAAACTGCCGCTCGGGACGACGATAGACTCCGCAGATTGCTTCAGGTTTTTGAAGCTGCTGAAATTAAAAGCCCTCAACTCTTAACTCCAGCATTCCCTTACATGGCCCGAGTCTCTCTCTCTCTCTCTCTCTCTCTCTCGGTTGCTAGTCGATCGGTGTACCGCTTTTCCATGGGGTAATAATCCCTTCAAAGACAATTTTAATCCACGACTGTTTGCGGGGACGCTGCTGTGCGCGATTGCCTGCCGCGTTTCGCCCGCAGTCAGTTCGCTTCACAGTATATTCCGTCTCGAAGACGTGATAAGGCGCTATATCAAATGCAACGACTATTGTCATAGAATTGAATGTGCAGTCTTGGTGAATAATGGCTTGGGACGAGGTGAGATGGGTGCACCCAATATATCTGGTCCCTCGATATTTATTACAATAATTCTTGCAATTGATGTTGCGCCTTTCACTTCAGGAGTGACGGCTGGATGAAGGACATGCAGGATTTACTGTAGAGTGTAGTGACTGTGTACTCTTGTAGGCCAAACTGCTCCCAGCGACAGCCATGAAGTCAATGATCCATCTTTATTTGGGAGATTGTTGGCCAGGACGTTGACCGGGAGAAAGAAATTCCCTTCTCTTTTCCAACAGGGATTTTTAATGTCCACCCGAACAGACACAGACGGTGGGGGGGGGGGGGGAGTGAGGTTTCATCCGAAGGGCAGTGCCCCTCGCAATCCCTCCCCAAAATAAATGGTCACTCGACCCACGACTGTTGGTGGGACGCCGCTGTGCGTGATTGGCTGCCGCGTTTCGCCCTCAAACTATACGGTCAATTCACTTTACAGTAAATTCTGTGAAGCGCTTTGCGACGTCTCAAAGACCTGATAAGGCTCTGTATCAAATGCAAAGATTGTTATTATAATAATACAACGATCCCCAAACCCCCCCCCCACCCCACTGCCCCCCACCCCCACCATAGACTGTGAGCTCAAAGTTCCCGACGTGGGAGCGTGAACCCACAACCTTCTGACTCCGAGGCGAGAGGGCTACCGACTGAGCCGGGGCTGACACCTAAAATAGCCCAGAGCGCCAACACCAACGCCAACAACAACAACAACAACAAGAAAGAGTCAGGGAGAATTTTTTTTCTCTCTCTCTCTTTTTAAACCAACATTTTTGTTTGAAATGCCCCGTTCCGTCTTCTCCAGGTCACGTACAAGAAAGACTTCGAGATGAACAAGGGCCGCGGGTTCAGCGTGGTGGCTGACACGCCCGAAATGCAGAGGATCAAGAAGACGCAAGATCAAATCAGCAACGTAAGTGCCTTTGCCCCCCCCCCCCTCTCTCCCTCTCTCTCTCCCCTCTCTCTCCTGCCCTATTTTGTGCCTTTGAATGTGCTCTTGAGGTTCACCCCCTGCAGTATTGCACCATTTCCTAAGGTTAGGCAGGAACCCAGAATGGGAACATTGTTAACACGCACAGTCAGCCACCCAGGACGCACACTGCATCCTGTTCGCATCCCGCACAGCCCCTCCCTCTGTAACCCAAACCCGGACGGGTCTCCATTATTCCTGCCCTCTTCCCCCTGTACGCCATTCTCTCCACCCTCGTAAAGTCTTTGCTGAAGCTTCTGCGATGGGGGGGCACAATTCAAACGGAGGGGCTGGCCCTTTAAGGAGGGTTGAGGTGTCTTAGACGCATGAAGTCCGTGCAGTCCAGTATCCCCCCCCCACTCCGCCCCCCACACCCCCCACCACCACCCCCAGTTCACATGTTTGTGTCGGCAGCCTCTCAACTGTAGAGGCCATCACAGCATATCTGTACCTCTTCCTGCCCAACTGCGACAGACTCATACACACACTAGAGGGTGCTGTAGAGGGACCAGGAGCAGGAACCTAACGTGTTTCGCCCTCCCTGACCCTGGGAATCCCAGGACCAATGTAGCCTCACGTTGTCCTGGTCTATAAGCTGCAGGTCTGTCTACCACGCCATCGGGCGGGGGGGGGGGGGAGGGTCTGCCCGCCTTAATACAAAATCCATACGGTTGAAGCTTCTTGAGAAAGTGGCAGTGGCCTTTAGCAACGTTCCCACGACTGGATGGAGGACAGTCTTGTCCCTGCGTTGGGATATGGTCAAGCAAGGGGCTTGGCTTCGATGTTCTGCACCGTGGAACAGTCAGTCCATCGAGGCAAGAACGTGTGGATCCAAACTCCAGGAAAAGATGGAACTTTCAAGTAGGGGAAAACAGATGAAGGGCACAACCCCAGGATGGCAGGAAGTTGTGCTCGGATCAAAACGTTGGGAAATTGCTGGTAGCGATCCCCGCTCTCCCAGGAACCCACGACCTGCACCGTTTCTCGGAAGTAGTTTGCTCGGCGCGATGAACTCAGGCTTTTGTTGTTGTTGCATTTTGAACGTCTTACACCAGGGGATGGTCCAACCTTTTGGCCGTCGAGGGGCCGGATGCCCTGTTTGAGAAAACATCCGCGGGCGGCACGAGGGATGTATTTGTGCCTCCCTTCCAGAAACATAACATGACAGTTTAAACATTTGTGGGTTTATGGAGGGAGCGGGCGGGCCGGATGTGGCCCGTGGGCCGGCGGTTGGACCACCCTTGTCGTACGCTGTTGATGTCACCTCGCTGGAGCTCTGTGTGTCCCATCGCCGCTAAACGCAAGGCTTGCGGGCACCGCACCGGGTTGGCTTCCGTTGCGCTCGTGTCGAACAAGACTGTGCGGTTCCTATAGGATCGCTCGCTCTCCCTCACTCTCACACGCGCTCTCTCTCTCCTGGACCGCTCTCACTTTGCACGAACGCCCGCCCGCCCGCCCGGTTACCCGGCCTCGCTCACGGTCGAAACTGCCGGGCGGAGTTTGGCAACGCCGCTGCGGTCTGTGGTGGCTAACGCGGGCTTTCGGCTAAGGAAGCTTCCGAGGTGACGGCCCGCGACGCGCCGTCGAGCTGTCGGAAGTCGGGCGGAGGATCGAAACCAGCGAGACGACAACGTCCGGCCGTGTACAGCCAGGTGAGACCGTCTGCCTCGCTAACTGTTGGTGAACCCCACGATAACGTGATCGATTTAGCGTATTCTTTAAGCGAATGCGGCGGCCAAGTCGCGCGCGTGTGATGTCCCGGCAAACAGCCACGAATTGAGTGACTCATTTTTAATCCAGCGGATCGTTGGCCTGGACACCAGGAGAGAGAGAGAGAGAGAGAGAGAGAGAGAAACTCCTAAGGATCTCTCCCACGAGACTTTTAACGTCCACCTGAACTGGGAACAGATGGTTGAACGTCTCGAACAAATGGCTGACTCCTCCAACAAAGCAGTGCTCCCCCAGCGCTGTGTTGGAGGTGTGAGCCTCGACTCGACTGTAAGTTCAAAGTCCCCCCCCCCACCCCCCCCAATGTGGGGCTTGAACCCACGATCGCTGGTTACAACAGCAGCAACAATTTTCATTTAAGAGCCCTTTAATTGAAGCAGAATTGTGGACTGAACCTCAATCAATGGTTTGGCATTGACGAGCCCAGCCCTGATTTATCTTTTTTTGTTGTTCAGAAGGGCTGACATCGGTGGAGTCCTGTCGCTCAGTGGTTAAGCGAGAGGACCTGGGTTGATTCCCGGGGGCCGGGGGCGAAACGTTGGGCACGTTTCCTTGCTCCACACCCCTCTGTTCACCTCGCAATAAGTTGGAACCCCCCGGTTGTTAGTCATTGGGCAATAATTCCTTCCAAAAAAAAAAAACTGGTCACTCGATTCACGACTGTTTGCGGGGACGCTGCTGTGCGCAATCGGCTGCCGCGTTTCATCCACAAAATGCACAGTCAATTCGTCCGCAGCATATTCTGTGAAGCGCTTCGGGACGTCTCGGGAGAGGTGATAATGCTCCGTATCGAATGCAAGGATTATTACGTCATTATTACTGGGTCCGGTGGTCTCTGATCCTAGACTTGGCCTTTTTTTGGGGGGCGGGGGAAAAAAAAAAACCCTCTGCGTATTTTGGATAACCTTTATCGTGAATTTACGGAGCGGGGAAAGGGAGGCGGAGGGGACCTGTGAACAGTCTTCTTTCACTGAGGGTGAATTTCAGCTCTCGCTCACCAGAGGCTGAGACGCCCACTGATTATGCCGGGACTGCGCCCAATTCAAAACGTCTTGGAAGGCATTTCTGCTCGGACTCTTGTGAGCGTTGAAGGTTGTGATGGGGAGGTGCTGGGGTCCTGTTCTTTCTCTCTCTCTCTCTCTCTGTTACAGTCTCTCTCTCGCTGCCTGTTACAGTCTCTCTCTCTCTCTCTCTCTCTCGATTACAGTTTCCCTCTCTCTATTAGTCTCTCACTCTCTCTGTTACAGTCTATCTCTCTCTCTATTACAGTCTGTCTCTCTCTCTCTCTCTCTCTATTACAGTCTCTCTCGCTCTCTTTACAGTCTCTCTCTCTCTCTCTCTCTCTATTACAGTTTCCCTCTCTCTATTAGTCTCTCACTCTCTCTGTTACAGTCTCTCTCTCTCTCTATTACAGTCTGTCTCTCTCTTTCTCTCTCTCTCTCTCTGTCACAGTCTCTCTCTCTCTCTGTTGAAATTTCAGGCTTGTGGCTTCCTGAGCGCAAAATGAAGTCTCAGTTTCAGAACCTTATCTAAAACTCTCTTTGCCCGAATTCAAAAACCGCTGAAGTCAGTAAATAGCACAGCGGGAGGATCTGCGCGCTGTCTCTCTCTCTCTCTCTCTCTCGCTGGTGTCAGGCTGATATTATTCTATATATAGACATATATTGTTTAAAAAAAAGTCCCAATTTCTATAATCGTTAACCGTTGGCCACACTCTAATCTCGCTCGAGCCAGAAGGTTGTGGGTTCAAGCCCCGCGTCCGGGACCTTGCGCTCACGGTCTGGGGCTCCATGGCGGTGTTTGGGGGGGGGGGGGGGGGGAGGGAATCGCCGCCTTATTGGGGACGCCATCCTTCCGATGAGACGGCAGAGTGCCTTCAGCTGGACGAATTGCATTCATATCGTAATGCCCTTCACGCACAGGACAGTGTCCCAGAGCGCTTGGCGGTGGAACCCGACCCCCCCCCCCCCCACCGCCGCCGATAAAAGATGCTATTGATTGGAAACGAGAAGGGAGTCGGTGCCTCTCTCTTGCGTTGGGGACGACAATCCCTGAGGGAAAATCGCTGCACTTGTCTACGGAGAGTTGCTGTGTGCAAATTGGCCGCTGCCATTCCCCACGAAACACAGTCACTACAGTGTAATATTGTGAAGCGCTTTCACATGGGGTCTGGGGTGGGGGGGGAGGGGTGGGTGGTGGTGGTTGGGAGATGGTGGGCGGGTGAAGGCAAACACACAAATGTGGATTTGTTCCACGTCAGTTAAATCCTACAAGGAGATGGAAAGCTGCAAATCATTTCCTGTCCGTTTCACAATCTCTCAGGGCCCTATTGGGGGTGATGGTGCGGAGGGGAGGGGGGCGTTCTCTTTCTCTCTCTCTCTCTCTTTCTCTCTCTCTCTCGATCTCTCTCTCTCTTTTTCCCCGCGACTCTCACCGAGTCCACAGCTGAGACTGAGCGCGCAACGTAGCTGATCTCAAGGAGGAGACGGCAGCTCGGAACCCTCCAGCTCTCTCGACGAGACATTTAGCCCCAGGTCCCGTCTTTGCCCCACCGCCCGCCCGCCCGCCCGCCCGCCCTCCCGGGCGCATGTGAACGATCTTGCGGCGTTTTCGGAAACCGATAATCATCATCATCATAATCATAATAATAATGAACGTGCGCTTGATTATAGAGCTCTGTCGGGTCGTTGAGACGTCTCAAAGCGCTTCACAGAATATATGGTGTAGGATTGACCGTGTATTTTGTTGGGGTGGGGGGGGGGGGGGGAATGCGGCAGCCAACTGCGCAGTGTCCCACAAACAGTCGTGGATTGAGTTTTTCTTTTGGGGGATAATTACCCCCCCCCCCCCCCACTCCCTCCCTCCCTCCTCTAGAAAGCTCTCCTGATACATCACCCAACCTGAGGCGCGCTGTGCAAAATGCACGTTGTTCATTTGGAAGACTTCTGTCTCCTCCCCCCCCGACCCCCAACTCCCCCCAACCCCCACCTCTTGCCCCCCACCCCGCAACCCCCCCACCTCCTGCTGAATCTTAACCGAGACCGGGTGGAATTTTGGGGGCCTGAGAATGGCTGCTTTCTCTTCATTGTGTCTTGTCTCCCGAGCTGTGGTGACGCACTGCCGAGGTTTGCCTGGAATGGTCCAAATTCCTCAAACGTGGATTTTTTTGGGCTTCTGTCACAGTGGGCGGAGAGCGCGAGGGTTGGGGGGGGGGGGGCTGTGGGGGTGAGGGTGAGGGTGGGGGCGAGGATTCACGTGATCCAGACCACGTAGCTGATAAAGGAAATGGGAGCGTCCTATCTTTCCCCTCCGCCCCCACCCCCCCCCCCCCCACTCCCCCCTGCCCACCCCCCCCCCCAATTTATGTATCGCTGCTGCCACCTCCTGGGTATTAGGAGCAATTAGGACACGGGACCTCTTCATGTCGGGAAGCAGTTCACCTGCTGCGTTGGGGCGAACACAGCAGCCAATTTTCACCCGGTGAACGTCCCCTACAAATGCAACCGGCCGCGAATCGAATGACCAATTTTTTTTTTTGGGGGGGGGGGGAATCCGGGGGAATTGTCGGCCAGGACACCTTGGCGAAACTTTGCCAACGGTGTCGCTGGATCTGTTTGACGTCCACCTGAACAGGCACAGGTGGGCGCTCGGGTCCAATGTCTCACCTGAAGGATGGAAGGAGTTCTTACCCCTCCCCGCCCTCCGCCCCCGCCACGCCACCCCAACCCCCCCCCCCAACCCCACCAACGCTGTGCTGGAGCATCTGCCTGGAGCGTGGCACTCAAACCTGCAGCCTTCTGCCTCGGAGAGAGTGACTGAGCCAGGCTCATTGGCTCTTCCTCCTGGGGTGGGGGTAGGGTGGGTGTCGAGGGACGGGGGTGGAGGAAAGATCCCTTTTGTGCGCGTGTCAAGTTAGGACAGGATTGAGTTGCGTTTGGATGAGACCGGAGACCACACCTCCCCTTCGCTACCCAGAAATGGAGCTTCCTGTTTTTTGGGGGTCTTGGCTCTCCGCTGTCCCCTTCTGGTTGTTGGTGGGAGCTCCTCCGCAGTTGAGCACGTAAAAGACTGGCCACGTGGGCAAGGTGTTGGGGGGGGGGGGGGGCGGTGGGGGGAGGGGGGGGGGGCGGAAGCTAAATCCACTGAACATGTCATTAATCTCCACATGCACAGCGCTGGGGGTGGGTGGGTGGGGGGTTTGGGTAAAGATCGAGTTCTGTCATACACGTGTAGCTCAGGGGTCAGAGCCCTCGTCTCGCAAGCGATTCCCGGTGGGGTGGGGGGTGGTCAGTGGGTTGGCGGATGGCTTTTCCGGGGACGGTGATCCCTTTTCTGGAAAAGAAACCGAAAGAATTTGGCGGCTCAGTCCGCGACCGTTTGCGGGACGCTCCCGCGCGCAATCGGGGGCCGCCGGTCGCGTGCAAAATATTACGGTCAGTCCGCTTTGCGGCAGGTTCTGTGGAGCGCTTTGAGACGTCTTGAAGACTTGATAGGACGCGATATCAAACGCGGGGGTCGTTATTAGCATTGTTGTATTTGTTTGGCGTTGGTGTGTAAGGGTGGGGAGCGGGTTGGGGGAGGGGGGCGGGCAAGGGGCAATGGGGGTTGTCCGTACGGTGAGGGAGGGGAAGGAGGGGAGGGGGAGAAAGTTACCTGATCCGTTCCATACGCAGGGGGAAATTTCCACGCACATGGAGGGGATCTGTGGTTTGATTATATGTAATAATACTAATCGTTGCAGTTGATACAGCGCCTTATCACGTCTTCAAGGTGTCTCAAAGCGCTTCACGGCGTATGTGTAGTGACTGTGTACGTGGCGGGCGAAATAACCCCCAAAATGGTTCGGAGACCATTGTTTCTGACCTGCCGTCACCGACCCAGGAACAGGCGGAGGGAGTTGGTTAGATGTGGCCGTTGATGGTGACCGAAACTCTCTCTCTCTCTCTCTCTCTCTCTGTTCTGTCCTTCAGATGGTGGAGGAGATGGGGCCGAGCGACAGAAAAACAACTGCCGAGAATCGTCGCAACATTTCCGCGGGGGCGCAAAAGCAATGTGTTTGTGTTTCCCTTCCAGGAGAACCTAACATAATATTTCCGGGTTACGGAGGGACGGGGTGGGTGGGGGTGCGATGGTGGGGTCGGGGGGGGTGGGGGTGTTATCGGCCAGCGGGCCACCAGCTAGACCACCCTGATCTAAGCGACGCTGTTGTCACGGCTGAGGGGACTGTCGCTGTAATGTCACTTTCATCCAATAAAAGTCTGAATTGTTTTGGTCTTTCACTGTTAGTTCAGAAGGCACCGGAGACCTGAGTCGCTCGCCCACCGGCAGCCTGGCCGGGGACATGCTTACACGGCTGTGAGTGTGCACCCGCGTGTGTGTGAGACGGGCTAACGTGTGCCAACACGTGCTGTTGGGTGCACAGCAGCGCGCATGTCACGGGGTGCGCACGCTAAGTCGTCGGTTGGGGCACACGCTCCAAATCACCGCTCACATCACGGGGGGTACACGCTAAGTCACTGTATGTTCCGTGGCACACGCGCTCTGCCTGTGCACGTCGTGCCGTGGTGTGCACGTGCTAAGTCCCTGTCTCGCGCTGAGCTCGGGGAGCTGGACTGAGAGAGCACGACTCAGTAGGAAAGGCGAATGGTTCATATGTTTGAGGCTGATGGTGGGGCTCTCTGACACCCTTCTCCCCCCCCCCAACAACCCCCACTCTTTCCCCCCCCTCCCCCACCCCTTCCCCCCCACCCCCAGCTCGGAGTCCTGTCCCCTCCCTGTTCATAGCCACTCTGCCATGTTATTCCACGTGGAGGGCCCCGTGTTCCGGTTGGGTTTTGACGGCACCTTTGACCCTAACCATCTTCTCCCTTTCCTCGTCCAGATTAAGTATCACGAAGAGTTTGAGAAGAGCAAACGGAGCACGGGGGCGGCCGACGGGCAGCGCAGAGACTCCCAGGACGGTGCCCCTTACGGGGGAGCCCAGGACTTCCAGCAGCCGTCGGAGGGCTACCGAGGTGGGCAGCGCAGGCGCCAAACGATCCGATACCAAATCACGTTCGCGATGGGAGGGCGTCCCAAGGCGCTGGACGCGAGCTGGGGGTTGGGATCAGGCGCGTGGGGGGGGGGGTGGAGAGTGGAGGAGAGGGGTAGGAGGGCGTCCTAAGAGGAGGGGCTTGAGACGTGCCTTGAAGGAGGCAAAGGAGGGGGCGAGGCGGAGGGAGTGTGGGATGGAGTTCCAGAGGGTGGATGCAGAGAGGCTGAAGGCTGGACCAGCGAGGGTGGGGCGAGGCGGGGCAGGTTGGACGGGGGGAACGGGGCGGGAGGGGGGGGGGCAGGACGGAGCCCGCGGGGAGAGCGGACAGCTTGGTAAGGGGTGGGAGTGGGGGTCACAGGGATAGGAAGGGGCGAGGACGAGGATTTTGAAGTCAACCCTCTGAGGGATGGGGAGAGGATACAGACACGATGGAGAGGGAGGGAGGGATGGAGGGAGAGAGAGAGAGAGAGAGAGAGCAGGGGAATGGGATTAAGAGTCGGGAGAGCTCCAGCCATACGATTAAGTTGTCGGGAGACTCTGTTCATTTGCGTTCGATTTGTGGAGTCCTGTAGCTCAGTGGTTAGAGCACTCGCTTTGCAAGTGAGAGACCTGAGTTCAATTCCAGGCAGAGGGCGAAACCTTGGGCAAGTTTCCTTACTCCACACGGAGCCTAATAATAATCCCTCCAAAACCAAAACAATAATAAATTGGTCATTTTCAATCTACGACTGTTTGTGGGACATTGCTGTGCGCAATTGGCTGCCGCGTTCGCCCACAAATATACAGTCAACTCACTTTACAGTATATTCTGTGAAGCGCTTTGGGACGTCCTCCCGACGTGAAAAGCGTTATATCAAATGCAAGGATTATTATTATTATTATTATTATTCTCTTCCTCTCTCCTCAGCCGTCCAGCAATCACCAGCCCCGGCTGCCCAGCAGCAGCAGCACCATCACCCCCCTCAGTCCTACGGGAACACTGAGCCCCCGCCATCCTCCGCCCCGAGAGCAGCTCCCCCCTCGGGGGTAAGTATTTCTCTGCCTCGCTTCGCTTTTTGTCGGTCGGCCAAGGGTGGGGGGGCGAGGGAGGTGGGGTGGGGGGTGTGTGTGTGTGTGTGTCTTGACACGGGCGGAGACCCATCATTCTCAAGACTATTCCAAACCAAACCGAGAATTCCCTGCGTTCCTCTTTACACGCAGTCGGAGAGGTTTCTGCCGGGAAGGGGCAGAGAGTTTGCTGACCTTCTCGGTAACGTTCTTCCCCAGAACTTTCCAACGTGGAAAAGGGCCCTCACGGTCTCTCAACTCTTTTCTCTCTCTCTCTCACGCACACACACAGTCTCTCACGCACACACACAGTCTCACGCACACGCGCACACACATACACACACTCACACAGTCTCTCAGTCGCACACACACACACAGTCTCTCAGTCTCTCACCCACACACACACTCTCTTTCTCACTGCTCTCTCTTCTCTCTCACAGTCTCGCACAGTCACTCGCTCTCTCACAGTCACTCTCTCTCTTACACACACACGCGCGCGCGCGCACTCTCGCTCACTCACATTCCCTCACACACACGCTCACTCAGTCTCCTACGCACACGCACACGCACACACACACACACACACACGCTCACCCCCAGTCTCTTTCCCCCCCCCCACACACACACACACTCACACCCAAACTCTTCTCTTTCTCTCTCACAGTCTTTCTCTCTCTCACCAGTCTCTCACCAGTCTCTCTCTCTCTCTCTCTCTCTCTCGCGCTCTCTCTCTCTCTCTCTCTTTCTCTCTCTCTCTCTCTCTCTCCCTCACGCAGAAACGGTACCGAGCCGTGTACGACTATGTCGCCGCCGACGAGGACGAGGTGTCATTCCAGGACGGGGACCTGATTGTTGACGTGCAGCAGATCGACGAGGGCTGGATGTTTGGCACGGTCGAGCGTTCCGGGGAGCGCGGAATGCTGCCCGCCAACTACGTAGAGGCCATGTAACTCCTGGCCGCGCAGGGCTGCCCGCTCGCCCGCTGGTTTTATATATATATATATATATAAATAAATACAAATTTTTATAGAACGGAAACAAAAAAAAATCCCCCTTCCCCCCCCCCCAAAATAAAAGGAATTCGACGAGAAAGAAAGAAAAGGAAAAAAAAAAGCAATCGGAATTAAAATCGAAGGAACTCTTCCGCCCCGAGTTCTCCGTCTTCCCTTTGAAGTGACCTTCGACGCCCCTTTGGCGAAGGATGGGCTTCGCGGGTCCCCCCACTCCCCCGGACCCTGCGTTACCCCCACCCCCCATGCCCCGTTCCTCTCGAGAACTGAGCTCTCAGATTTAACCCCTTTGCACAACTCAACTCACCCTCTCCCCACTGCATCCCCCCCCCCACTCCCCTCTTCTACCCTCCCCTCTGCGGTGGAGGTTTTTTTTGGACCTCAACAACCCCATTTTCCTCCTTCCTAAAGAGTGGACGTTCCCCCCCCAAAATGTGCGAGGGGCGGAGTGGGGGGAGAGTGTGTGATGTAAAGAGAACAAGGGTGCATGAAAGAGAAAGGGATGTGTGTGTGTGTAAAAAAGGGGGTAAGGGGGGCGTGCGATACAGAGCGAGGGAATGTGCGTGAGCGAATGTGGGGGGTGGGGGTCTTGTGTGAGGGAAGTGTGTGGGGGGTGGGGGGGGGCGTGGATTTAAACCAAATTTCTAGGTTGAAATCGATGCCCATTTGGCGGTGGGGCTTATGTGGGTCTGATGAGCGGATTAGATTATTGGGGCCAATGTCTGCGGTTTAATCTAATTGCGGTCACCCCAGGACCCCACGCACCCAGCCCCCGCCCCCCCCCCCCCACCCACCACCCCGGCTACTCTGCTTCTTGGGGGAGAGGGAGGGGGGAGTATATCAATATAAATAATTGAATCATTTCCTTTAAACGTACTTAAAATCTCGTTAACAACGGGTAGCGATTTATCCCAAACTATTATCCTTTATGGGGTTTGTTATCAGGAGAAGATTGATGGGAGTGCAATGAGAGTTCTCTATCACTGGGATCTCACAGTGCGCTTCTTCTACCCCCCCACTCCCCCCTCTCCCTCCCCCCTTATTGTTATTAGGATAAAATAAGTCGTGAAAGATTGCTAAATTAATGTCCGGTGTTGGGTGACTGTGGTTTGCGCAGTTCAGAGCACGAGAGAGAGAGAGAGAGAGAGATCTTAATTTCTCCACTCCACGTGGACGACGCTGTCAGTTTGATTTTCACCAATTCATTAATTAACCGATCGATCAATCGATTGACACTCACTTAATTCTTTTTTTTTGTTCAGAAAGTCCTTTGCTATTTCCGCAAAGCGGTATTTTTTTTGGTTAGGCGGTGACGACGGCAGTGGTGGTGGTGGGGAGGGGAGGGGTGGGTGGGTGGGGGGGTGTGGGGGGGGTGGGTGGTTAGCGTTGGTGGGGTGGCGGGAAACGGGCAGAGGTTGCGTGGCGGAGCAGATGGGAGATTGCCTCGCACGCAGAATTCCTGACGCCCAAGCGAAGGACACGACGCTTTGGGTGTCGCGGAGCGGGTTAACCGGTTGGAACTCTCGCTCGTTCTGTTCGTTGACTCGACCCGACCTGACCCTCGGTTTGTGATTTTTTTTTTGTCTTCGAAGGAGACGGCTTAACTTACCTACTTGCCACGGAAATGAAAACAGGTTTGAGCCAAGGGTGAGACTTGTGACTCCCCGGTGCAGTGTTCAACCCTAATGAGAGAAACAAATAAACAAACAAAACCCCCCACACCCCCCCCCCCCCACCCAAAAAAAAAAAACGAACGAAACAAATGCATAAAAACAGCAGAGAAGCAAATTTACATTTCGAAATCGACGGTTGTGGTTTGGGCTAAATTTTGCAGCGTTCAGTTCAAGTTGCCGGGGAGAGGGAGAGTGGGAGGGCGGAGGGTGGTGCGGGAAGAGGGAGAGCAATTCTCGGGATGGTTTCTTTGGCACCAGGTGACTGGAGGACAGTTGTCCTGCCCCGACCACTCTCTCCCTCACCACACCCGCCTCCCCTCCCTCCTCGCCTCTCTCTCTGTCACTTGTCACTCCCTCTCTCCGTCGTCTCGGCGTCTTGTGGAAGGGCAGTGAGCAAGGCTTGGTTGCCCAGCTTCCCCCCCAGTAGCCATATCCTGACCCAAAGCTACTAATGCTTCCCGTATTTTTTCTCCCCCCCCCCCCCCCCCCACATCGAATCTCAAACAGCTTCCGGTTGGTTAAGCGCAAGATTTTAACACCCCCCACCCCCACCCCTCCACAAACTCAGCGCCCCATCGCCTCCCCCCCCCCGCCCCTTCCTTCTCCCTCCCCCCGATCCACTCCAAACAACACTGCCCTTCAGATGAAAGTGTCACCGGTGCTCAATTCCGTGAACCACCCAATGACTTGTTTTTTTCTCTCTCGACTGTACAGTAAATCTTTGGGGGAGGATGTGTGTGTGTGAGGTGCGGGCGGGGGTGCGGGCGCGGGGGGGTGCGGGGTGGGGGCAGAGGTGAACTGAAGTGAAATCTGTGCTTTGCCAATCGATAGGATTTACTGTAATGCAAATCTCGGTTCTTGCTTTAGCCACTAACTGTGTGAATGGGTGGGGGGGGGGTCGGGTTGGAGGGGTATATCAAACTGGTGGGTCCCATGTGCAAAAATAACTTTTTTTTTACCTCTCTCTATCTCTTCCCCCCCCCCCCCTCCCCCTTCCCCCTCACCCCCCCATCTGAAACACGGCCACCATTTGACACAGCCATTTGTTGACTGTGTTCTGGTCGGAAGTTCTGATCTCTTTTAGTGATGTACGGTTTATCGAAACCCAATTCGGTGCTGTAGTTCTGGTGCGTGGGGAGGGAGGCGTGTGCCTGTGCGTGTGCGTGTGCGTGTGCGTCCCTGGACATTTGTGATTCTAACTCTTAACATTCCAATGAAGTGTCCCATTAACCCTTCGCCTGCCTGTGACGCTCGCGCTGTTTATAAGTTGGGGGGAAACCCCCCCCCCCGCTGTGTAGTTTTGTTTTTTGTTTTGTTTTGTTTTGTTTTTTAGCGCTGATTTGACCGGTTCGAGGGATTGATTTCGACGTCGATTTTTTTTTTTTTGATTTAGTCAGGCTTTTCACAGTGCGGCTCGCAGCTTCTCTCTCTCTTTTCGTTTAATGTATTTTCTTTACTTTCCTTCTCTTTTTTGGGGGGGGGAAATCGCGATTTAAAACGTCCTCGCTTCGCGCCTGCGCGCCCACGGTCACCAGGCGCCGCAGTCACCGACTGAAATGTCCCTCCCGACTCGAAAGGCCCCGTAGCAAACCCGAGGGTTGTGGATTTTTTTTTTTACTGTTGTTGTTAGAGAAAAAAAATCCAGGCTCGATCGTCCTGAATGGCTCGTCGTGATTTCGGCTGCAAGTGAGCGTTAGCGTGACGAGAGAGAGAGAGAGAGAGAGAGAGAGCGCGCACAGCGCAAAGGTGCTTTGATCTTGGAGGTCCTCTTCCTCCCAACCATCCATCATCCATTGCGGTCACACCATTGGAACCTCTCCTCAAACCAATTCCCGAACTGGGTGGTGGGTGGGGGTGGGAACTGCAGACTCCCTACAAGAGACCTTCCCAATTGCAAGGACCGGGATGAGGGTGGGGTGGGTTGGGGGGTTCGGGATTCGGGGGCAAAAGGGCTTTTAGGGGTTCCTGCAGCGAGACCGACCTTCCTAATAATCCAATGAAGACACTGTGAGGTCTGCGAGTCTGTTAACGCTATCGGGGTGTGTAAATCCACCGTTGCCGCTTGTTGTTTCTGCTCTAAATCATTCATTACTGTGCTTGCCATTTTTAGCGACAGAAAAATGTATTTTTTGGCATGATTCTTGACAGATTGTCAATAAACAAAGTGATGGGAATCAAATTCGGTGACCTGTGTCTGTGTCCGTGTGTCGCAGCCGAGCCTGAGGTTTGCGCGCGGGTTCACCGGCTCCCCATCCCGCAGAGAATCGAGTACAAAGCCCTCGTCCTCACCTTCAAGGCTCTCGACGGTCTTGCTCCCCATCCACACCCCACACCCCCCACCTCTCCGACCTCATCACCCCATATCAGCCCGTCCGCTCCAGGTTCCCCCGCACTTCCCGCCCCACGATTGGCGGTCGGGCATTCAGCATCTCTGCCCCACACTCTGGAACTCTATCCCGCAATCCCTCAACCTCCCCCCCCCCCCCCCACCTTCTTTGCCTCCTTCAAGGCTCCTTCAAGCCCATCCTTTCGACCGTGTCTTTGGCCACCTTTTGAGAAAGGTCCAGGGGGGGGCCACATAAGCAATGAGGGAGGAAGGGAGGGAGAGGGATTCCAGGAATGGAGTTCCAGAGAGCGGGGCGCAAAATGGTGATGATGGGGCAAATGGGATGGTGGGGGGGAACAGATGGAATAGTGTTTGCTTTGCTTTGCCGTGTCAAGAGTTGTTGAGAGGTGGGTTTTTGCTTCCCTGACAGACTGCAGTAACGGCCGGTGTTATTTCCACTCTCCGCGCTGCGTCCTCCCAACCGCCGACTCCTGCCGCTGCCCTGGGAGGAAGTTCACCAGGGAGGGAGAGAGGGAGGGGAGGGAGGGAGAGAGAGAGAGAGAGAGAGGGGAGGGAGGGTAGGGGACAGAAATTGGAATGTTGGAAATGGTCTCGGGGTCGCAAAAATCACCGAAGGGGCCGGTTGCGGCCCACGGGCCACCAGTTGGACTACGCTGATCTAAGCTGACGCTCCCGTGCAGTGCAGGGCTCCACTTTACAATAAATCACGTGAAATGCTTCGTGACGTATGTGACACGATTCTGTTCGAAATGCAGGGATTGTTATAATAGCAAAATCTTCCCGTCGACTACAGACGGCAAAGCATCTGCAAAGAGCTTTACAGGGGAAAAGCTGCCAAGTGTAGTGATTGTATATCTGTACGCAAACACAGCATCCATTAATGTAAGTTGCACACTCTTCCCCCCCACCCCACATACATACATACAAAAACAGCCATGAAGGGAGTAGATACAATGCAAATGTACACATCCGGAGGAGGTCCTGAGGGTCTCAAAACTAACCTCGTTGAGGGGAGGTAAGTGGGGTCTCCTTGTTACTGAACGGGCAGAATCGAGCTGGCAGACAGCTGGGCGGGTCTCTGGTTCCTGAGCCAGACGAGTCCGCAGTCCAGCCTGGACCATCGATCGGCAGCATTTGGAAGGGCAGATCAGACACTGGAGGCAGGGAATCCTCCCGCTCAGCTCTTGTTAACCCTGCAACCCAAAGCCCTAAAGGGTGGGGTGGTCCTAAGGAAAGCTTACCAGACGGTCGGGGATCAGGACCCGAGCGTGGGGGGGGGAGTGGGTGGGGGGGGGGGGGGGCAGGGTTGGGATGAGGGAGGGCAGAGAGGGCGCTGAAGGCACGGTCGAAAAAGAGAGTCTTGAGTCGTGTCTTGACTCGTACCTTAAACCTTAACGGTTTCCCTGCGTATGGGGGGAAGGGGGGAAATGGGCTGAACCCCCCTCCTCCCCTCCCACCACCACCACCCCCCAAAAAAAAAGGCTCAGTGTTATTATTATTGGGGTGGGGAGGTGGGGGTGCAATTCTCTCACTGCCCTCTCGGTGTCTCTCCATCAGTCTCTGCCCTGAAGCTTCGCTCAGAGTTGCAGAGAGACTGTGGTCCTCTCAGTCTCAGCCCAGTGTTGGCCTGTGGTTGGTCTGTTGGTCCTCCCACAATGTTGGACATATTCATCCTCATGTTCTTTGCCATCGTGGGACTGGTCATCCTCTCCTACATCATCTACGTGCTGTGACTGTCAGAACAGAGCAGATCAGGGTGTGGGGGGGTGTGGGGGGTGTTGATGATTGATGAAGGTGGGGATGGAGATGGAAGAAGCAGCTCCTAGGATTCTGGATGTCCCTCCACATCCCACAGGTTCGTGGCTCTTACACACTCACACACAGGCTCTTACACACTCACACACACACACAGGCTCTTACACACTCACACACAGGCTCTTACACACTCACTCACACACACAGGCTCTCCTGTTGCCCTGAGTCCTTGGGGTAAACATTGCTAAACATGTCCTTTTTTTATATTTGCTGCAGAAAAACCAGAGAGAGAGAGAGAGAGATGTGTGTTATTCCCACTCATTCATTCTCTCCATCACCCCATCTCTCCCCACTCTGTCTGTCTGTCTGTCTGTCTGTCTCTGTCAGTCTGTCTGTCTGTCTGACCCCCTCTTTCCTCTCGGGCTGTTCTTGTTGAGGTTGATTTTGTTTGACTGTTGAGCCATTTGGACCCTCAGATCTTCTCGCATTTTTATTTCCATTGAGAGGTTTACCACAGCGAAGAAGGTGACAGTCAGTCAGCAGATACCATGGGGTTATCTCAAAGACTACAGCATCGCCTCTCTCTCTCTCTCTCTTACACATCACATCTCTCTCTTTTCATTCTTTCTCTCTCTCTCTCTCTCTTTCTGTTTCTTTCTCTCCCCCTCTCTCTGTTTCTTTCTCTCTCTCTCCCACCCATCTTATCTCACTCTCCTTTCATCTTTTGTTCCTTCTTCCCTTTAATATATACATATATATGTCTGTCTGTCCCTCTCTCTCTCTCTCTGAGGATCATCATCTCTTTCTCTACCTTTGTCTCCATCCCTCTCTCTGTGTGTGTATCTTTATCTGTCTGTCACTGGGTTAATCTCTCTCTCCCTCTGTGTGTATCTGTGGAGAACAATCAGTGCTGGAAAAATGGGGGGGGGGGTTCCACTTAAAAAAAGATGTCTCATATGTGACAGCGATGATAATGTGGTGCACGGGTTTGAACCCAGATCGGTCCCTTCACAGCGGAACAAGGGTCCGGGTTCGGGCGATGTAAAGGGGGTAATTTCAGGACAGTGGGTAATAACGATTAAATAATAATCTTTGCGTTTGAGTTAGCGCCTGATCGCGTCTTCGCCACGTCTCAAAGCGCTTCGCAGAACATACGGTGAAGTGTAGTGACTGTGCATTCTGTGGGCGGAACGCGGCAGCCGCGTCCCCGCAAACAGTCGTGGGTTGAAGCGACCGATTTATTACCCTGTTGCATCCTGTGTCCGTGTTTACATCCCTTCTTGTCGGCTTCCCCAACTCCTCCCTCCGTATATTTTCTTATAAGCCCTCCATGTTCTTGCTCCCCCCCCACCCCCCCCAACTCTGCGACCGCCTAACCTGCGGCCCTCTGGTCAGCGGGCTCCAGCCTGCTTCACGTCCCCCTGCCTCGCCCGTCCCACCATTGGCGGGTGAGCCTTCTGCCACTCTACCCCCACCCTCTGGAACTCCATCCCGCAGCCCCCTCCCTCGCCTACTTCAAGGCTCATCTCAAGACCCTCCTCTTCGACTGAACCTTCGATCGCCCTCTTCCCCCAGTGCTCCCCACCCTCCCTGATCCAGACCCCCCGGCTCGGGTCGGAAACATTGGTTGTCCAACGGGAGGTCCTCCTGACGTGAAAGGCGCTGTACAAATGTCATTTTTTTTGTTGTTGTTTCACTTTCAGCGGCCGCCATGGAGCATCATCTCCATCCCGGCCCTCAACCAGGAACCGCGGGAAGTCCTGAGGAGCATCCACCGGCACATCTGCAGGGAGACAGATTGGCAACAGCGGCTGAGAAACCCCCCCACCACCCAGCCTCACCCCCGGGACATGTAACTCTGATGGCACAATAATACAGAGCTGCGCCCGTGTGTAACTGTTGTACCAGTCCAGCCTGTGTGTGTGTGTGTGTGACACTGTGTGTGTGTATCTGATGGTGTGTATGCGTGAGAGATGCTGAGTAATATGGGTGTGACACTGTGTGTGTGTGTGTGTGTGTGTGTGTGAGATGTTGGGTATATGTGTGTGACGCTGTGTGTGTGTGTATCTGCTGTAGCTGCGGAGTCTGATTCAATCCCCAATGCTGTTTATACCTCACACGAGCCTTCACCTCTCCTCTCCCCTCTATTCCCGTAGCACAGTGGTTAAAGCACTCGCCTCGCAAGCGAGAGGACCCGGGTTCGATTCCTGGGCCGGGCCAAACCTTGGCCAAGTTTCCTTACCCCACACGCCTCTGTTTACCCAGCAGTAAATAGGAACCCGTTTTTTAGACGATTGGTGGGTCGCTTTCCGTGGGTAATAATCCCTCCAAACAAAAAATAATAATAATAATTTGGTCACTCAATCCACGACTGTTCGTGGGACAGTCGCCTACAAAATACACATTCACTCCACTTCTCTGTATATACTGTGAGGCGCTTTTAGGCATCGCAACGATGTGATAAGGCGCTACATCAGATGCAAGGAATATTATTATTATTCCCTTCTCTCTCGTGTATCCATCGTTTCCTCTAAATACACAAATAATAATAATAATCCTTGTGTTTTGTGCTGTGAGTTCCACACTCTGTCCATCTCCTGCGTGACGATGAACCTCCTAAATTCCCCGTTAGATCTGGTACTGATTATCATGCATTTATGCCGCCTCCGTCTTTAGACTCGCCCACTAAGAGGAAACAGCCCATCAACGTGGAACTTATCGTGATGCTAAACCACTTCGATCAGTTCCCCTCTCACTCATCTCAACTCAACGCCAGAGAGAAATGCTCTGACCTGACCGACCACTGTGCTCACCCGTCCCTGGTGACATCCTCGGAAATCTACGTCAACAAAACTACATTTTCTTTGTTGAATATTTTGGGGGTTTGTGCCATAAATCAAGGAATATTCGATCCAAGCAAAGACTGAAAGCACACTACCGATCGAACCCGGACTGACGTAGACTCGTGGGAATGTTCGGCGGGTGGGAGAGGGGGGAGAGGAAGGGGAAAGTGGAGTGGGGGTGGTGGGGGGGGGTGGGGGGTGGGAGGAGGCTCTTCTTGACGTCTCCGTCAGTCTACTGATCTATATTGTTCTATCTCCGATGCTACAATTCGGTGTTGAGTTTGAATCCCAATCCAATCAATTGAGAAGCATTATCAATCTGTTTGTTTTAAATGACAGTGAACACATCACTGTGTCATCGTGTTAAAGGCGTCAACGCTGCCCTCAAAGTCCAGCCCCCAAGCTTTTTAAGTTTTCCTTAAACACGCAAGCCAACGATGTAACTCACGGCGATGGTATCTTTGTCTCGTGGAACGCTCTGGAGTTGTGCAGGCATTAGGTCGTACTCCCGAGTTGTCAGTATACTCTTCGGCCTCGTATACGGGCTTCGTGCCGACCGATGAAACCTTGTGTGTTGCCAATAATATTTTAATAAATTATGGGAAAATTGATCTTTCGCTGCTTTGTTATACAGTGAGGCTGGGGCTGGGAGAGGAGGGGTGGAGGGGGGGGGGGCGGGGATAATAATAATAATCCTTGCAATTGATACACCGCCTTATCGCGTCGTCGAGACGTCTCAAAGCGCTGAGGATACGCTGAAGTGTAGTGACTTGTGTATTTTGTGGCCGAAACTCGGTAGCTGATTGTGCACGGCAATAGGAGAGGGGGCAAGGACAGGAGGGGGGTGGGGATGGAAGGTCCCCCCCCCTACACACACACACTGGAGAGGTCAGGCTTCTCTCTTACCCCCCCCACCACCCCAGTTAAAGGCACTGGCATCTCTCACTAAGCACGTCTGTGAGGGGGAATGAGATAGGATATGAGATTGACCCGAGTCACCTCAACAGCGATAAAATAGTACCATATACACAGTGTACTGTGCAGTGTTATGGGTCTTATGATCTCTACAGTACGATATATCATGGAGTGAGTGCAATACTGAAAGCCTCGTCATGCGCAGGTCTGTCTCTGACCACAAGAGGCCATCGGATGCCTTGTGTCTGTTCTTCGGGCAGCCCTACTTCCCACAAAACACCAATCACAAGGTAAGAGAGCAAAAAAAAATCCCTGCGTTCGATACAGCAGCTTTTAGGTCCGGAGGACGCCTCAAAGTGCCAGTGTAGTGGCCGTGTAGGAGAACAGTCTGGATTGCGAACCCTAATGGGTCGGTTAGACAGGCAGGACGCAGTGAAATACACCCTGAGAACAGCGTAAACTGGACTGTGTGCATCTCTCACCCGCCCCCCCACCACCCACCCCATGCAGTGTGTGTGTGTGTGTGACACTGTGAGTGCGTGAGACATGGTGTGAGTGATACTGTGTGACACTAACACTGTGTGTATGTGTGAGTGAGACACTGTGTGAGTGTGGGGGGTGTGGGGGTGGGGGGGCGAGAGAGGGCTGCAGGGGAGATGGGGGGTGGGGGGTGTCCCCTATTTGGTGCGATTAAATGTTTATTGTCTCCCGATGCAATAAAGAGATTTCTCAGAGTTTCTCTGCGGAGTCTATTAAGGAAGGGTTAGAGTTATGTCAAGTGAAAGGCTCCAATCCCTGACCTAACCACTGAACTCAGTCAGACTGGGGTGGGAGGGAGCTTTGCTCGGGGTGGGGGAAAAGAGGGGGAAATCAGCCAGGTTTTACTGCTCCTCGTTGCTCTCTCAGCCGGTGCGCCTGTGACTGGCCCAAAACCCTCTCCCTAACGTCCGCCATCACTCACTCCAAGTCCTCTATAAACTCTGACCCCGACAAACCTCACCGCAACCATTGATTCCTCCCCTCCTGTTCCATAACCTGTGAACACCCCCTGTTACAACCTTTGACTCAAACCTTGACCTCATAGGAACATAGGACTCGGCTATACAGCCCCTCGAGCCTGTTCCGCCTTTTAGATCATTCTATTAGATCATGGCTGATCTGTACCTCTACTCCAATTACCCACCCTCCTCCCACAGGGATTCAATGTAAAGTGTAGTGACTGGACTGTGTAGGATTTGCACGCAGCCAGACATCCTAGAAATAGCCGTTAAGCGAGCAAGCGAGTGAGTGATTTCACGGTGAGGCTTTCCGCCCAACTGGGAGGATGTTAGCCTTTTCCGTAGCTATTAGGAAACGTAATTGATTTGGTGACAAAGGATCTTTGGGGAGTGTAATCATAATTAGTCTTAATTAGTCTCAAGCAGTGGGTCAGGGTCCAGAGCTGATTTAGAGTTTTTCGATTAGTTTTTCTCTTGAACTTTTTTTTTTAAGTCTTATTTCCCCCCTCAACTCCCCCCACCCACCCACCCACCACCACCACCAGCGAAACCAGAAAAATTAATCAAAGAAATAAATGCGATTGATTTTCAGGTAAGAGACGTTAAACCGAGGTCTCGCCCCGGCCCTGTTCAGGCGGATGTTAAAGATGCCACAGCCCTATTAGGAAAAGAAGATGTTTCTCTCTCTCTGTCTCTCTCAGTCTCTCTCTCTCTCTCTCTCTCTCTCCGTCTCTCTCTCTCTCTCGTCACTCTCTCTCTCTGTCTTTATCTCTCTCTCTCTCTCTCTTCACTGTCTCTCTCCCTCTCTTTCCACAGCCTATTTATGCTAAACGTTTCAATATTTTTTTAATATAAATTTTGAACGGCTCAGTCAGTTCCTCTCTTAAATATCTCTGGCAAAAGAGGCCCAATCTAGTCTGTCTGTTCTGTTAGCGGTAACCCGTGAGCCCTGATCGCTCATTTAAGAGAGAAAAAAAATGAAATCAATGTCAAGCAGAACACTGACCTCACATTGTCAACGCTGCAGAGAATTTATACTTCGAGTCGGTTAATGAGCTTCATTTTGACTTACTTTGGGGCTAATTTATTTGTGCAAACGGGTGATTTACTATTGCATTTAATACTAATTCCCAGACTGTACCAATGTGAGTTTCGCTCGCTTTCCAGGTGAGGGGGGAAAACTCCATTTAACTTAAATGTCGAGTTTTCAAAGAAAAAAAAATCTTCTACTAAAATCTGGTTCTTTCGCTTGTTAAATGCTCCTCAACAGTGAAGCATGTCAGAAGGAGGGAGATAAGGTAAGATTGCTTTCTCTAAGGACCAGAGTTTGAATTCTACTCGTCTGCTGTTTATTCCTCACCCATTCCATCACGCGTCGACGGCCGAACCTTCAGCCACCGCGCTCCCGAACTCTCCCGAAGCTTCTCTGTGTCACTCTCATTGACCACGTCTCTGGTCAACACCCTCGGGCTCCCCCACCCGCCCAACTCAGGCTTACAAACAGCAACGTGAAGTGACGTGTGTATTTTGTAGACAAACGAGGCAGCCAATTTGCTCACAGCAAACAGTCAGGAGGAAAAGGCCAAAGGGGGATTGCCGGCCAAAACACCGGGAGAAACTCCGTACACCAACCCACAGCGTAACGTGGATCTTTAACGTCCACCTGAATGGGGAGCTCGGGTTAACTTCTCGTCCGAAGAGCCAGTCGAGAGGTCGGAGAGTAAGCCTAGACCTCGAGCACTGTGTGATTTGAGCACATCGAGTCAGTCCATCAACCAACAGGAGACAGAAATACTGAAGATTATATTGTATGTACAAGCAGATTACAAGTCAATCGCACGAACGGTGGAACAGACACGTCAATTGTCAAGTTACCTGAGGCCTGAAATTCCACCTGGTTTTAGCCCCTCACTTTTACTCGCTTTGGCAAAAAAAAAATCCTTCGCTTGGGTCTGGAGCTGGTTTTCCCGCGCCAGAATTCCTCCTTTTTAAAGATAAAAACCAGGAAAAGGCAGTTCCCGAGTGACTACGTGGCCTTAAGAATGGACCCCGGATACGTCAAGTATTTTAAGATAACCTCGAGGCTTGACACCGGGAGGGAATCCGTGTCCTAGATTTCTCATGAGAGAATGACAGCAATCCTCACACTTGCGCCTTTCACGTTGGGAGGATGCCTCGAAGCGCTTCACTTAAAGTGTAAAGTGTAGTGACTGTGCCTTCCGCAGGCAAAACCAATCCTCCGGTCGATATTGCAAATTTGCCCATTAAATGTATTTGTGTATACAGTGTATACAGTATTGTACAGTGAATGTCTCAAAACGTACCTCTTTGACTGACTGCACTTTTGGTCATCTTCCCCCCCACCACCCACCCTCACCCCCACCCCGCTCCCCTCCCTCCCCAGCTCAGGCACCCAGCCAACCAAGCGCTTTTAAGACATCCTCCCGCTGTGCAACTGGAAAGTATATTGTACATAAATAAAGATAAAAAATAAAAGGCTGTGGATTATGGCTGGATCCATTCAAAGCTTCCGAGACTCAAGAGTGGATGGATTTTTGGTTACATCAGGGTGTCAAGGGATATGGGGGCAAAGGTGGGTAATTGGAGTTGAGGTAACAGATCAGCCATGATCTAACAGAATGGCAGAACAGGCTCAAGGGGCTGAATGGCCTACTCCTGCTCCTAATTACAAGCAAAATCGATCGTATTCCAATCACTTCCCCAGGAAAGTGGATGAAATACCTTCATCGTATAAGGCCCATGGCCTGGTTCGATTCATATATAATATATATATATATATATATATATCACACACAGATCCGAATGGAACAAGCTTCTCACAGGGAAAAGAAAGCAAGACTTATGCAATACAGTGTTCAGCTGCAACGTATTCCTTCTCAAATATACTATAATAAAGGTCCCGGCTGGCCAGATGATGATGGGCTTGGTGTATTGCACAAGCTCATTATAGTCTCCTAGAAAGTGGCATCAAGGGGGGGGGGGGAAGGAGGGAGATAACCTCTGTGGGGCGCGGCTGAGGATGATACCGCCTGTTAATGGTTTGGAAGTTGGGGTTTACCCCCCCTCTCCCTCCCCGTCGCCTGCTCCGCGGGGGCCTCAGCACTGCTCGGCTTCCACAAAACCTTCCTTGTCGTGGCCTCTGGAATCCACCTCAGCGTACGTGGGCTGCCCACTGCTCTTCCTGAACTTCATGGCCGGCCATCTGTACAGGCGACGCTGTGGGAGGGACACACAGAGCAATCAGTCACACAATCAGACAGAGAGAGAGAGAAGGAGGGAGGGAGGGATAGAGAGGGAGGGAGGGAGAGAGAGAAGACAGTGAAGTCCTGCATCCATCTCAGTGGTTAGAGCTCTCGCCCGGGCAGAGGGCAAAATGTTGGGCAAGTTTCCTTACTCCACACGGTTGTTTACCCAGCAGTAAGTAGGAACCCGGTTGCTAGTCGATTGGGGGATCACTTTTCCGGGGGTAATAATTCCTTCGAGGCGGGCGCCACGCTACGGGACTCCACATCTTTAACCTCTCGTCCGAAGATAAGACGAGATAACAGACAAAGCAGCACTGTAACTGGAAGCCAAGCTGATTCTTATCCAGAATCTGCAGTGAGTTAGTGGACTCACTGAGTGATTCTCCCCTCCACAAACACTCCCCCGCGCACCCCCCCACCCCCCACCACCACCACGTCCGCTCCTGACCCGTCATCGATGGTGAAACCACCGCCGAAATAGCCCACGTCTCGTTAGGATTCCGCGCTCTCCTGTGTGAGCAGTAAGTGTGTTAAGCCTCAGGAGAGAATATTCGAAAGGCCACTGTCGTCGCTCCCTGGTCACGTGATTACCGGAAAGAAAGGAAACTTAACCCAATTTCAGACTCATCACAATGCAAAATTAAAACCCAAGTCTCCCGGGGGCAATGTCCCCGCAAAGGTTTTTAATTGGAATGATGTGCCGTGTTTGGGTGGAAGAGAGTTAGCTCTCGTCCAGCACTTGATATCTGACAGGTGTATCTGGTCGCTAGGACTTGGAGGGGCAGGCCAGTCACTGGGGGCAAACCCCACTCCCGCACCCCCACTCAGCTCCTGTTAACCCTGCGAGCCAAAGCCCTCACGTGTTGGGTAGTCCACGCTAGACAAGCAGCCGGAAAGCGGGCCAGACAGTGACACCATTGGCAAGCCATGTGGTTTTAGCTGGTTAGTCTCCTAACCCTAACCCCCAACACACACTCTGGGCTCCCCAGACCTGCGCAATCATTCCATCCCATTCCAACAATCTTCCTCTGGGATTCCCATGTGTTCTTGGGACGTGTGGAATTCTCAGTTTGGTTTGGATTCTCTTAAGCAAGTGATGGGTTTCTGTTGTGTGTCAGACACCCTCCTCAGTAAATAACTCACCTCTGTGTGTCTCTCACTGTGTCTCGCCTTCTGTGTGTGTGTGTGTCTTTTTGTGCCTCTTTCTCTCTGTCTGTGTCTCTTTCTCTATGTCGCTGTGTGAGTCTCTCTCTCTCTGCGTCACTCTGTGTGATTTCCATGTGTGTCTTTCTCTCTCTCTCTCTCCTCATTGTCCTTTGGATGAGACATTAAACCGAGGTCCTATCTGTACCTGTTAAGGTTCAGGTGAGACCCTGGAGCACTTTGAAGCATTTTGAGATGTCTTGAGATGACGTAAGAGGCCCTGTATTAAATGGCACAGATTATTAATAACTATTGGTGTCGGAACACTGAAACGTGTGCTCACCTGAATAAAAAACAAGGCGGCCGGAGAGGTGGGGTGGTTGTTGATGTAGATGCCGGAGAGGATCAAGACAGCCAGAACCACCACTCCCAGAACAATACCCACCACGATCCCGGTGTGAACAGGCCTGGCTCCGACTCCGGCTTTGGCTCGCTCCTGGGCGAGACCGTCATGAGTGATGGCTGCCAGAGAGAGAGAGAGAGAGAGAGAAGAAAGAGAGGGAGAGAATCCAGTCATTCATTGAGACAATTCCTGCAGCTCTGCCCCATTGCCCTCAACGTGTTCCTAACACAAGGTTTACGTCCCCTTCGGAGGAGACGTTAAACCGATGTCCCGTCTGCGCCTGTTCAGGTGGATGTCAAAGATCCCTATTTGAAAAGGGAAGGGAATTTCTCTCTCCCCTGGTGTCCTGGCCAACAATTCTCCCCAGACATAAAGAAAATTGGTCACTTGCTGCCTGGCTCGGACCCTGCTGTGCGCAAACTGGCTGCTGCATTTCACTCGCAAAATACACAGTCACTGCACGTTACAGTATATCCTGTGAAGCGCTTTCAGACGTCCAGAGGATGTGATAAGGCGCTACATCAAATGCAAGGATTTTTTGCATGTTACATTTGCCGAGTAGATCAATGTTGTTGCGGCCTGGCTCAGTCTGCGCATGCGTGTGCGTGTGTGTGTGTATGTGTGTGTGTACTCTCGCCTCCGAGTCAGAAGATTGTGGGTTCAAACCCCAGGGACTTCGAGCTCACAGTCTAGGCTGTCGATCCAGGGCTGGACTAGGGGACCCCGGAGTGTGCGTTGGGGTAACATTGCCCGAACGGGTGGTGGAAGTCGATTCGGTAGCAACTTTTAAGAGAGAAGTCAATAATCATTTGGGGTGGACAAGTTTGCAGGGCTATGGGGAGAGCGCGGGGGAGTGGTGTTGATTTGGATAGCTGCAGGGTTTGTCTACAAAATGCACAGTCACTACACTTCACCGAAACTTTGTGAAGCGTTACCAGATGCTGAGGATTGTTATTATGAAATCAAGCAGCTTCTTACATTTCACAATGATCACAGGGTTGATAAAGCGTGCAGTTTAATACAGGTATCTACCAGTAAAACAAGCGGCAGGGATTTGCTGTCAAGTGTAGTGACTGTTCGCTCATCTCAACCATTAGCATCCATTAGTGTAGTCCCACAAACAAGCGAGTGATCTTATTTGGGGGGGATTTTATTCGGAGAGGGAAACTCCCTATTCTTTACGGATAGCGCCACAGGATCTTTAGCGTCCACCTGAACAGACAAGACAGGACCTCGGTTTAACGTCTCATCCGAAGGACGGCGTCTCTGACAAAGAGACCCTCCCACACGCCGCCCCCCCCCCACCACCCCCCACCCAGCACTGCGCTGGAACATCAGCCTAAACCGTGAGCTCAAAGTCCCCGCTTTGCGAGGGAGGTGGTTTGTGTGTGTGTGAGTGTGTGTGTGTGACTCAAACAATTACAGGCGTTAAAAGATTTCATGCAAATTAATTGTCCTTGGTTTGCAAGTTAGATCACAAAGACAAGCTGGAGAATACCCCTCAAGTCACCCCTGGGAGGACAAGAGAAGAGAATCATGCAAAGATTTATGAGTTTAAAGGAGTCGGCCAGACAGGCTTGCTGGGGAGACATTAAACATCGGGTGAGGACTGACTGTACAGTCACATCCTTAGGACACGATGTTCCAGGTTATCTGTTATAATTACAAGGGAAAACAGAAACACATTGGAATAATAATATTTGGTATCGTGCCCTATCAGGTCAGAAGGAATCTCAAAGCGCTTCACAGGATTTACTGTGCCACAAAATGAACGATCCCTTCCAATATCTGGGGGATTGCCGGCCTGGATTCCCGGAGAGAAACTCCAATCACTTTCCCAATAACCTTGTTAGATCCTAGGACCCATGGGAGCTTGGTTTAAACATTTCCTTCAAAGGTCCGATGCCTTTGACAAAGTGGGTTGCTCCCCCTGACCTCCACTCCCCCCCTTCCCCCCAAAAACCCCTCAGAAGCATCAGCCTTTGACCGTGAGCTCAAAGTCGCTGACTTGGTGGTGAGGCTTGAACCTACAACCTCGCGATTCAGAGCCGAAAGACAAAACCCAAGCTCCTGGAGGCGGTGATCGCAGCTCAGGAAGTATCGTGAGGAATGGGGGAAACGGGGACGAAGGGGTGGAGAGAGAAGATGGCGTGGGAAATCAAAGCGCTGTCAGCTTACCCTCGTTTTTTGGATGCAAAGCCAACTTTGTGTCATCTGAGAGAGACGAGAAATAGAGCAAACAGATTAACTCAACATCTGGCACCAAGGCAGAGGTGAGGTTACCTTGTTGTCAGCCCGACAGAGAGTAAGAGACTACAGGAGCAACTGGTATACACGTATATATATATATATATATATATTAAAAATCCTTGAATTTAGATACAGCTGATGCCTAAGAGGACGTTGTGAAGTGTTTCACGGGATGTTTAGGATCCGAGGCGCTATAACAACAACGTAATAATAACAGTCCTCGCATCACGTCTCAAAGCTCTTCGCAGAATATACTGTAAGGTGTAGTGACTGTATATGTTGTTGGGCGAAACTCGGCAGCCAACTGCTCCCAACAGCGTCCCACAAACAGTCGTGGATCGAATGACCAAATTATTATTTTCTTTTAAAAAAAATGTTTCGAAGTGATTATTACCCCCGGAAAAGCGATTCGACTGACGACCGCCATGTTCCTACTTACTGCCGGGTAAACAGAAGGGAAACTCGCCTGAGATTTCCCCACCGCCCCCCCAACCCGCCCCCCCGGGAATCGAACCTGGGTCCCTCTGGCTCGCGAGGCGAGGGCGCTAACCGCTAAGCCACGGGACGTCAGAGACGCAGCGAATGTCGCGATCGGGGCGATTGCCGGGGCTAATCTGTGCCGGAGACCCACAGGGCGGGCGATACACGCTGAGACTCACCGTCTGGGGTGGAGCTGCTCGGCAGCACGGCCGGCGAGGTCGCTGCTGCTGTGTTCACCACGGCTGTCGAGGAGGAGAAGTCCTGGGAATGTTCGGGAAATTCTTCGCACAGCTCATCTTTGTCCTAGGAAAGCGTGTGTGTGTGCGCGCGTGTGTGTTTGTGGTCGTAGTGGTGGGGTGGGGGGTGGGGGGGGGAGGCGGGGGGAGGAAATATTATAACAGTAATAATCAATCATTCTTGATTTTTTTTAAACACAGCCTCTTTACAGTCAGGAGGAAGAGAATGATCCTAATCCTTGGGTTTGATTCAGAGCCTTATCACGTCGTCGAGACGTCTCAAACCGCCTCACGCATCGCCGTGAAGCGTGTAGTGACTGTGTACACAGTGGGCGACACAAGGCAGCCAGCGTCCCGCGGAGCGGGTGATTAATTGTATCCGGGGGAATGAATTGTCGGCCGGGATGTCGAGAGAGAGAGAGAGAGAGAAACTCCCTTCTGGTTTTTAAACGTCCACCTGAGCGGGTGGACGGGATCTCCGATTAACGCCTCGTGCCGACGGGCGCATCGCGAAAAGGGCAACGGGTCACAGCGAGATTACTACGTCGCGTTTCGAAGGGTCAATCGCCGGACTGACCTCTTCTGCACACTGATAGTCCAGCCACTCCTGCCGGTGTCTGTCAAAGCCATTCGAGCACCTGCAGCCCCCGCCACAACACAAGGAGAGAAAGCAACGGCTAAGTAATAATCCTTGTGTTTGATACAACGCCTTATCGCGGCATCGAGACGTCTCCAAGCGCTTCACGAGAATAATATACCGTCAAGTGAATTGACTGTATATTTCGTGGGCGATTGCGCACAGCAGTGTCCCACAAACAGCCGTGAAATAAATGACACCGATTTTATCGGTGGATTATCTGCCGGGACTTCCCTCTCTTTTCCAATAGCGTCGCAGAATCCTTAGCCACCACCTGAACGAGGTGCAGACCGGAGCTCGGTCTAACATCTAACGTGAAGGTCGGCGCCTACAACAACGTGGTTCTCCCCACCCCAACCCCCACCCCCCACCCCTAGCACTGTATTAGGGTGTCAGTAGCACAGTGAGCTCAGTGTCCGAGACATGGGATTGAACCCAACAACCTGCCAACTCAGAGGCGAGAGCCCGGACAGAACAGAGAAAAACAAAAGGCTTTCCAGAATGGAAATAATTGCAGAGAGAGCTTTTTTTTCCCCAAAAAAACCCAGAAACTGTCATCAACCGCAGGACTGGGTCAAATAACGGGAGGAGATGATATCACAACAAAGCACGAGAGAGAGAGAGAGAGAGAGAGAGGAAAGTGTTTGTGTGTGTGAGAGAGAGAGAATGGGAGAGAATATGTGTGTGAATGAGAGAGAGAGAGTGTGAGAGAGCGCACGAGAGAGTGGGAGTGTGTGTGAGAGAGAGTGTGTGTATGCGCGAGAGCGTGAGTGAGAGAGAGAGAGAGAGAGAGAGAGAGAGAGCGCGAGAAAGAGAGAGAGGGAAAGAGAATGAGGGGGAGAGAGAGAGAGAGAGAGAGAGAGAGGTTTAATCCCCAGACCAACGACACCTTTACCACTAACTCACCTGCGTGCAACCCATGGGCAAACCAAGTGCAGCCCACGGGTAAACCGTGTGCAAAGCCACACGTAAACCACAAGTGCAAACGCGTAACACAGGCGAACCCGCGCCTGGCGGTGTGAAGATGCCCGAAAGCGCGGTCGAAAAGGTCTCGAATTGGGGCAAGGGAGGCGACCGCCCCCCACCCCCCCCTCAAATATACCTTTATTCGGACCCGCGGGGTGGTGGGGTGGTGGGGTGGTGGGGAAAATCGGTGTCTGAGTGAGTGTGGGGAGGATTGAGGGGTGGTGGGTGGTGGGGGGGGGGTGGGGGGAGTCCGTCTGTCATCACCAGTGAGAGCGAGTGCATTGCAGCCCTCACATCTGCGGGTTCTTGGCTGCTGTGGCCTGAGTTGGCCTCCAGCTGCTGGTTGTCACGAACTGTAATGAGCTGCTATGTTCTCGAAGGCTGGGCCTCTCTCTCCACTGCCAGGGTCTCGGTGCTTTGACGTCACTTTGGGTGACGACGGCCACAATGTCCAGGCACTTTGTTTCTCGAGAGACGCTGATGATAATCCTTCTACTTGGTGCAGCTCAGGAGGACGTCTCAAGTGGCTGCACGGGATTCACTGTGAAGTGTAGTGACCAGGCGTTGCGATGGCACGTGACGGGGAATGATCATACTAATCCTTGCCTTTGATATAGCGCCGCATCACGTCTTCAAGACGTTCTCAAAGCCCTGCACAGAATTCACTGTGAAGCGTAGTGACTCTGGTCTTTTGTGGGCGAAACGCGATGGCAATGCCCTACAAACCGTCGTGGATTGGGTGACCGAATTTTTATTACTTTTTTTTTTAAAAAAGGGATTATTACCCCATTCCCCACCGGAATGGGACTGGGGCGAGGTTTGGAGGGCAGGAGGACGGGGGTGGAGGTCCAGGGAGAGGGGGTGGAAAGAGAGAGAGAGAGAGAGAAAGAGAGGAGGGAGAGGAGAGAGGCAGAGAGAGACATTGCAAACCCACCTCTGGAGCACATTACACCAACTGCAGTTGAACCGTTCCTCTGCACTAACACAAGCGTTGCAGCTCTGGTGTTGCAGACACACTGCGCGGGACAGAGAGGAGACGCTGTGAGTGGAGTTCCAAACCATGCTTCGTCATGACACTCGTTACAGTGCAACATTACGTTTACGCGGCGCTTTTCACGTGGCGAGGACGTGCCGAGGCGCTGTGGACAGTCGGGGATCGGGGAGGGTAGGAGGGCGGCCGAAGACGTGGCCGGAGAGGAGGGTCTTGAATTTATGCCTCGAAGGAGGCAAGAGAGGGAGCGAAGTGAAAAGGAATGTGGGGAAGGGCGGAGTCGGGGAGGTTGAAAGCCCACCCGCTGACGGTGGGTGGGCCGGGCAGAGGACGTGGAGCCGACATGGTTTGGGTGCGAATCCCAACATTTTATTCCTGCCCTCCCCCCACCCCCCCACCCCTCCCACTGCCCCCAAATCACCCAAACCGCGTGCCTCGCCGGCATCCACCCGCCATCGCTTCAGAATGTATCGCAGCAGGCAGTGACGTCGGCCATTTTGAATCGGCAGGAAGTGATGTCGTGGCGAGCTGACCATCTAAATGGCAGCCATTTTGACAAGCGACGCTGGTGCTGACCGTGTCCCTGCGCGAGAGCGGCGATTGCGGGGGCGGGGGTGGTGGGGGGGGAGGAGGGAGTTGGGTGCTGAGCAAATGAAGACTTTTTACAGAATCCCACCCCATTATAACGTTTAAGACCACCAATAACCTGCACCACATCAGGTGCCTTTCACACCAGGAACGCGCCTCGGAGGGCTCCTGAGGTGGAAATTGGTTCCGGGGAAATCCCACAAGTTGCCGACGCAGCGTGCGGCACGCCGACACGGAATTCCTGCCCGCAAGAGGAAATTCTGAACATCTAATCAATTCCCACCCCACTCAACCCTCCCCCCCCCACCCCACCCCCCCTCCCCGCTCCCCCCACCAGAGGAAATGGCCGACTGCTGGACAGATCACCACCTACTGGAGACGGGAGTGAACTGCAGCGCCGAGCTGTTGACAATCTTGCTCATATTTACTTCGATCCGATGGTATTCGTATATCGTCCGTCTCTGACCGTCTGTGAAAAGAGAACAGAACATTGTGCGGTTTGAGGCCAGGGAGAGGATTTCCTTCAGGCGATGAAGAAGGACCTTTGGCCCCTTCCAATCTCATCCCTCCAGAACGCCAACCCTATCATTGCCCCCCCACCCCCATCACACCGAGCTGCTCACTCACCGGGGCCATGTGCCGTCTCCTGGACGATCATGAAAGCGTCCGACAGGCCGACTTTCACCGGGTGCTGGACGGAGTTTATCTGAGGCACAGGCAGCGGGATCTGAGGGCGAGATTTACAAGCACGTGAGGCCATCATATTCAGAACAATAATCGTATTTGAAATCAGGCCTCCTCAGGAAGTCTCAAAGTGCTTCACTGGATTTCACTGCGCAGCGCAGCGACTGTGCGTTTCCGGAGGCGAACCGGACTGCCAAGTTGGACGCAGCAACGTCCCGCAGACAGCCGCGAATTCCACGACCGATTTTTTTTATCTATCTGGGGGCTTATCGGCGAGGAGAGAGGAAGTCCATTCTCTTTTTATGGTGTGATCGGTCTGGGCGATCAACCCTGAACCCCCACAGTGCAGGGTTTTCACGGTGATGATCCACTTCACTTCGTTCTTCAGCCCGCGGACCGCGCTCTTCGCGCACTCACGTGTTTGTAGCTGAATATTATGCGTCCCTCTCGGCACAGGGTGGCCTGGAAGGTGAAGGGGCCCAGGTCCTTGCGACTCTGAAGGAACACCGTATCCCACTGCACCACAAAGGCCGTCCCTAAACATTAATAATCATGGTTGTATTTGATGTCGTTATCACGTCGTCGAGCTGCCTCAAAGCGCTTCACAGGACATGCTGTAAAGCCAACCGACCAACAACCGGGCTCCTACTTACTGCTAAGTAAACAGAAGAGCGTGGCGTAAGGAAACTAGCGTCACAGCAAACACACCAGCCGTTCACCTTGGGCCTCAAAGCACTCCGAAGTCCCTAGGATGTCCCAAAGCGCTTCCCAGCATCTACTGTGTAATGGAGTGACCGTATATTTCGTAGGCAAATGGGGCAGCATCGTCACGTGTAGCAACGACCCACGAACATCGATGAAACAAGTGACCCAATCTATTTTCGGGAGTTGTCGGCCAGGGACACTGGGAGAAAAAGGCTCTCCAAGAGGTGGGAGTTGAGGAGAGTTGGTGTTGGCGCGGAAGGGGTTGTGGGGGGCGGGCGAGGCTGGTTGAATAGCCCAGGAATTACCGTTATCAAAGTAGCTGACTGTGGAGTTTCTGGAGTAACTGGGGTCGAAATTCGCCATGAGAGGAGCGATGTATTGTGTGGCCGTCAACATGCGGTGAATCACATCACCGGTGAAGATGAAGCCTGAAAGAAAAAGGGGAAAAAATAAAACAACAGTAATAATAATAATTCTTGCATTCGATACAGCACCTTATCACATCGTTGAGACTCTTCACGGCGCTTCATGGAATATATCGTACAGTGAATTGGCTGTGGTATTTTGCGGGTGAAACGCGGGGGTTAATTGCGCACAGTGATCATTGCGTTATTAATGGCGCTGGACTTCAGATGAGGCCCTAAACCTCGGGGTATTGGGAAAGAGAAGGAGTCTCTCTCCAGGCTTCCCGGCCAAAAATACCCCTCCGCCCACCCAGATAATATTGGTTATCATTTGATGGCTGTTTGTGAAACATTCCTGTGAGCAAATTAACCTTAAAAAAAAGGTACAGAGACTACACTTTACAGTAAATCCCGCAAAGCACGTCCTCCCTAAGTAGTGAAAGGCACTGGATCCAATGCGAGGATTATTATTAAATGTTCGTTATTTACCAACTGCCCCACCGGGGGGAGTGGGGAGGGAAGGGAATTCACAAGAACCTAAATATAAGATTGGGGAAGAGCGGAGAGGGAAGAGCGTGAGGAAGGTCCAAGCAGAAGGCAACAAAGACACAAATTAAACGCAACCTCGGAGAAGTCATCCCATGGTAAGTGGGGTTCCTCGAGGCAAGGCGAATCCTGATCAACGCACTTTACATCGACAATTTCAACCACTTACCTCCCGTTGCTATGGTGATCTGGCGCAAGTAATGGCCGTAAAAAGGAAAATCGAAGGACAGGATCACTCTCTGGAAAAGAGGTCAGTTGTTGAATGAAAAATCATCGCCCAACAGTCTGAAACCACAGGTTACTCAATAATAATAATATTCCTTGTATGTTTTCACAGAAGGAGGACCTCCCAAAGCGCCTCAAAGCATATCCTGTCAAGTGAAGTGACTGTGTATTTTGTTGGCGAACTGCCAATTTGCGTACAGCAAATGGCCCACAAACAGTCACAAAGTGAGCGACCAATTTTTTTTCTGGGGATTGCTGACCAGGACACCAGGAAAGAGAAACTGCCTTCTCTTTGTGAACAAAAGGCATGGGGTGTTTAATGCCCAAAGAGGGCACGAAGGGCACCTCGGTTTAAGATCTCGGTTTGAAGCGTGGTGTCAATGAGCTCTCCCCCCAACACGGCGCTGGAGCATCAGCCTGGACGATGAGGAGCTTGAACCCACAGCCTCTGACTCAGAGACAAGAGCGTGTGAGACTGAGCCAGGTTAGTCGATTAGCGGATGGCTTTCTGGGGTAATAAACCCTCCAAAAAAAAAAAAAAATGTGGGACACTGCTGTGTGCAATTGGCTACTGTGTTTTGCTCGCAAAATACACAGTCAATCCCCTTTACAATACGTTCCGTGAAGCGCTTTGAGACGTCGCAACGACGCGATAAGGCGCCATATCAAATGCAAGGATTATAATCAATAAACCGAGCTCCCCATCTGTGCCTGTTGAGGTCGGCGTTAGATATCACATGCAATAGCAGACTGGCTCTACAAAAGGGCTCGATTCGGGGCGGGAGACGTGGGGGTGGGGGGGGTTGCCAAAAAACATAACGTTATTTTAATTCCACCCGAATTAAGTCTTGCATTAAAACCAATATCTTTTATTATCAAGATGAACATTACAAGTTGAGGAAAGAACCTTCCAACATAAGAAAAGAAACATTTCGTCCAACTAATAAAAGGCAGCACTCTCCTCTGGAATGTTTTGATCGTTGAGGTTTACCAACTAAGTCCCTACGGTTATGATAACTATGATTTCTCAAAATGTATCAAAAGAGGAATTGACTCACCGAGGCCTGGCGGTGAGTGTTGGACAGGATTCCGTGCACTAGCACTTTGTTCTTGTCCAGTTTGTTGAAGTCAACCCAAAGCTCCCGAGTTCTGGAGTCCTTTGGTCCATAACTCCTAGATACATAATAGCTGTGATTGTCCTCCTGCAATGCAAGAACATTGGCTCATTGACACAGCCGTTCATTAGTTATGTCAGACCTCTCTTGCGCCTGGGTTGGAATCTGGCCCTAAGACAGAGGGACCCCCAATTAATGGTGTAGTGTCTCCAGGAGGTAAGCAGGGTCTCCTTCAAGCTGAACTCTGTCCAAGGTGTCGGGTTTGATTAATTTCGCAACCCTGTGGTGAAGTATGAACCGACACAAATGTCCTTTTAAGCAGTAAAATTTAATAAACGACTAGCAAGGATATGCATATCAACGTTAGACGTTTCATCAAATCAAAATTAATCGGTAAAGTTCACTGCAATGGGGTGATTGGATCAATACAGTGACTTTGATGGAGGAATCGACAGGTTATTGCGCGTCGATCCATCCTGATTGTAGTATAGCCCTCTTTCCTTGAGATTGGTTACAGTTAGTTGGTCCATTCCCAAACTCTGTTCTACTCCCAAACTCAGTTCTTCCCCTACGTTGAGAATTTCCACTGGCATCGATCATGTTTAGGGTTCTCTCGATCTTCATCTTCTTGTCTTGAGATGTTGGTTGTGGGTAACAAGTCCGTTTCCTAAAATCTCTGCTCCTCTGCATTCATTGAAAAAAAAAGTTGCGATGTGACAGACCGAGGTCAGTTAAGGGGGTTCAGAGTGCAGATACCACCCCCACCAACGCAACATGAGGTGGACTTTGTTTAGTTTATTGGTGTCTGGAAACGCGCTTTAAATAAGGGAACCCATCGAGAATTCACTTTACGACCATCAAATACTTTTTGAGGTCGCAGAACGAAAAATCCCCGGAGACATTTATCTCAGTCACCATGTGCTGAAATCATTTTCTCTCTTACTTTGTTTATTCGGGGGAAAATAAGCCTGGATTTGTTTTTAATAAAATCAATATGGGATGTAGATTTCGGAGCCTGAGGTTTACCCCTACAGTGAGAAAGATTAAGAAAACTTTGTCAGTGATGAATATTTGCTGGACGCTAACATGCGGTATTTATTAACGGTATTTCTTATAAAGGAGTCTTGCAGAGAAATATTGTAAATTAGGGCTTATCACAGCCATTGCTTCATAATGGTTGGATTAATAATTAGAGATGCTTGTGATCACCTTCTCCCTCTCCTTGGCTCGGCCTCAGGCTCGGTTATTGTTAAGCACTCCGAGATGCTGCCCCACGTGAAGGGTGTTGTGTAAATACAAGTTGTTGGTGTTGTGGAGATGCGTGGAACAGGGTTAGTGGGATGGGCAGCCAGAAGGTTGGGACTCATGATCTCGAATGTTGTAATGGGAGGACAGTCGAGAGGGGAATAGAGGGGAGGATGAGAGGGGAATAGAGGGCAGGAGGAGAGGGGAATAGAGGGCAGGTGGAGACTTTCCTGTGGATTATAGACAACTGCACAGACTAGTTGGGCCGAATGGCCTTTCTGCATATGGTGACACTTGCTATAACACTATGTCCCACCCACGAGGGGGCAGCAGTGCTACGATTGGAAGAAGGGTTTGTTTTTTTCTGCCTGGGAATGAGCCGTTCCACAGCAGGAAGATCCAAGCTTCCTGTCCGGGGCCTTCCTCATCCCACCCTCATCTGGTGATCGGGAGTAAATTCCTGGATGACTGACTGACCCCGTCCATCTCCTCCCAAGAAAGCAGCAGCCAAAGTGGACACGGGCTATCCCCCCCACCACCAGGCAGGAAAGATACACCCTCACAGGCTCCGATCCTCCACCCACTCCTTTCAGCAGCTGTGTGTGTGCCTTTCACACATGGTACTGGTTATCTTGTGGTGTTTATAAGCTATTGTAAACCCCAAGCTCTGTTTTAAAGATTTCCACTTCTTCCTCCGTTCCAAGTGTAGTCAGTAATTGCTAACAGATTACCGTCTCCACTGGTTAGAACACTCACCCCTGCGCTGGCCAAACAGCCGGCTGGGCTCCTGGAGGCAATTCCGACTAACTGACAGCGTTGGCAGGAATCATTAAGCCCTTCCCCCCCACCCCCCCACCACTCCTCCACCCCTCCAGCGTGCCAGGAACTCAATGATCTCCCAACGCAGACAGCCACTGGGTAAAAGGGAACCACTCATACCCTGGGCTGCAGAGCTGGTGCCTGGCTCAGTGTCAAAGCTGCTGATCTAAACGGGTGATGGTTAACTTGTGGTGAATGCTTTGTTGAACCACAGTCAACAAGAATCGCAGTCAACAACAACTGACATTTATATAGCGCCTTTCGCGTTGGAAGGACCATCACTGCATCAGAGAGGGTGCGGAGGGAACTTACTAGGATGATCAGAGGGTAATTAACAATTGGAACAGCGGTTGCCAGTAACGGTGGCTGAGGCAAGGTCACTGGGATGAGATCAGATGGGCCGAAAGACCTTTTTCATCCAAACTGTTCTTGTGATGATATCAGACGTGATTGGTTTGACCTACGCCTGGAGGCACTGGGCCTATCTTCACTGCAACAGAGATGGTCGAGGGGAGATCTGATTGAGATCTTTACGATGAGGGTTTTGATAAGAGTCGAGGGGGAGAAATGATTCCCACCGATTAGTGAGCCAGTGAAAAGTTGACTGCAGATCATTAGCAAACCCCTTTTACGCAGAGCGAGTCGCGAGGATCTACCGGGGGCGGTGGTCGAAGTAGGCTCCAGATGAGCTTTCAAGAAGGAACTGGATTTCCATTCCAGACCTGGAGAAAGCCCCATGTGCTGGTGCCATTCAAAAGTGGATCCCTCTGCCTGCCTTAGAGATGCTTCAGTAACAACAACAACTTGTATTTATATAGCGCCCCCTCAGGCAGGGTAGCGTCCAGGAGTACTTAGGATGGCGATTGAGTTTCCTCGCATGTCAGACAGCCGGCTGACCAGAAAAACATCTTGTTGTCCTACCAGATCCGTGATCTGGGTTTAAATAAGGTCCAAATTAAATCTGTGAATGATTTGAGAAGGGAATTAATCCAGTTTTATTATTCTGTCACGTGATAACGTTTGTGACTGAGAGCTGAGCTTCCCAGGAATTATTACTTGACTCCCAGGTCCTTATCCGCACATACACCCCAGTCCCTCTCTATTAAATAAATAATCATGATAATACGGTCACTCAATCCTCAACTGTTTTTTGGGACACCGCTGTGTGCAATTGGCTGCTGCGTTTCGCCCACAAAATATACGGTTAATTCACTTTACAGTGTATACACTGTGAAGCGCTTTGAGACGTCTCAAAGACGTGATAAGGCGCTATATCAAACGCAAGGATTATTATTATTATTATAATTAAAGTTTCCAATGCAGGGGCCTTGATTAAACCGACAACCTCCTGGTTGAGGCGAGAGCGCGAGTGAGAGCGAGAGCGACAGGGAGAAGCTGGAAGAGGTTCAGCAGATGTCAACATCAGGCAGTCAGTACGGAATCTTTCCAACTTAAACCTCGGAGCCTGGATCACAGATCACAGCCGGGAAGCGAGAAGGAATGCAACTTCTACTCGTCTGAGATACCAAAACCCTACAAATACTGGAGGTTGCCTGGGCAACGCGAGACTGAAACAGAAATAAAAACACTCGTCCCGCGAATCCAAACCAACGTTCCCACAAGTCAGGGGGCCAGTTGGGGTCTGATCCCCTCTGGACCTCACACACTTTCTGACGCAAGAATAAGAAGTTACATTTACACGGTGTCTTTCAACAACAACAACAACAACAACAAGATTCCATTTATTGAGCGCCTTTCGCGACTGGAGGACGTCCCAAGGGGCTGGACAAGCAGGGATATGGACCCGAGCTGGGGGGGGTTGAGATCAGGAGGGCAGGGAGGGTGGGAGTAGGAGGTGACCGAAGGCGCGGTCGAAGAGGAGGGTCTTAAGATGGGCCATGAAGGAGGCAAGTGAGGCAGCGAGGCGAAGGGACTGTGGGATGGAGTTCCAAAGGTGAGGGAAGAGAGGTTGAAGCTCCGACTGCCGACAGTGGGATGGGCTGGGCTGGGCGACGGGGGGCTGGGGAGCTGGAACCTGTTGAGCAGAGGCAGCGGACAGGTTGATATGGACACATATTCTCTTTGCAAAGACAGGTCAGCAACACCAAGGCAATGGTTTCTTCTTTGACTTTGCTGTCCCAGAGTCGAGGGGATTTCAGTGCTGGGGGAAGAGGGATGGGCAGAACGGACGGAACGGAAAAACTTGGGGGGAGGTGAGCAGGGTCCCTTCGGGGCTGAACTGGCTCCAAGGTGACACGTTTGGCTAACAGGATGTCAGAATCAAGCCAGCCCTCCGTGACGTCCTCTAGTCCGTTTCCTGAACCAGGTGGGTCTGCAGAACTTCAGGACACAGCCCCAGCCTGGGTCATTGGCAGGACTTGAAAGGGCAAACCAGTCACTGGGGATTGGGAATCCTCCCACTCAGCTCCAGCTAACCCTGCAAGCCAAAACGCTCACAGGAAGGGTGGTTCCAGCTGGACAAGCATTGGGAAAGCTTGCCGGACAGAGTTATCAATGGCAAGCTATGCGCTTTTAGCTGGTTAGACTCCAAAAGTTACCCCAACACACTCTCTGGGGTCGTCCAAGCCTTGGCTCTTGCCAACATGGCCTGATACTCTCCGGAATTAGGTAAGGAGGATGGATCCCTCCAGGGAGAGAGAGAGAGAGCATTCCATTCCAACAATCCATCTCTGGGATTTCCATGTGTAGGTGGGATGCCTGGAACCCTATGGTTTGGATACTCTTAAGCACGGTGATGGGTTTCCGCACGGGTCAGACACCTGGGCTAACTTCGTCATCAATATTTCTTTTGGTGCTTGGAAGCCCAAAATTCCCAACGATCCACCTTTAACTGGGAAGATTATCAGCCGGTATGTTTGCAGAACGAGCTCAGTGCCTCGCAGTCTATTTGCGGCTGAAATCTTAGCATCAGCAGCTCTGGGGGGGTGGGGGGGTGGGTGGAGGCAGGGGATGGGATGGAGCCTTTAGCCCAGTTTCCTCTCAAAGAAACACTCCAGCACTGTGCTGCATCCCGAGAGGAGATCGAAACAGATAGCTTTTCCTTTTCTTTTTTTTTTAAAAAATACGTCCTGTCTGTGCGTAGACAAATTAACCGTTTGTAATTGTAACTCACCACCAGCTGGGAGCCGTTTGCAGGCAGAGTGTCGATGGCGAGCATGGTGCCCCCCAGGTCCTCGCTCAGACGCCTGCCCTCAGCCTCCGGGGGCGACACTGAGCCGTTGTCGCCCGCAGAGCTCCTCCTCCAGCTCTCCGTGTTCTCCCGCCCGCTCTGCCGCTCCGGGAAGCCTGGGGAACCAGTCACCGAACGACAATAATAATCATAATAATCCTCACAAAAGGCCAAATACTGCAGAGGTTCCAACATTTCAGGTCACGTCTTTGAGACGACAACGACAACAACAACAACGTTACATTTGTACAGCGCCATTCATGTCGGGAGGACGTCCCAAAGCACTTCCCAAGGAGACGTCTCAAAGCGCTTCACAGAATATACGGTCACGCGAATTGACTGTATGTTTTGCGGGCGAATCGCGGGCAGGCGATTGCGCGCAGCAGCGTCCCACAAAACATTCGCGCAATGAAGTGACCAAATTATTATTCGTAGCAGTTTTTTTTGAGGGATTATTATCCCAGGAGAAGCGATCCGCCAATCGACTAACAACTGGGTTCCTACTTACTGCTGGGTAAACAGAGACGTGTGGAGTCAGGAAACTAAGCTGCAGGAATCCACAAGTAATAATTATAATAATAATAATTCCCTGCATTTGATATAGCTCCTTATCACATCGTCGAGACGATGATGGAAGGGGAACAGCCAAGTCATTGCACAATGGACCATCCATCACACAGATCGCCAGTAACTAACTTATATATAACAAATATACAGTCAACTCACTTTACAGTATATCCTGTGAAGCGCTTTGGGACGTCCTCCCGACGTGAAAAGCGCTATATCAAATGCAAGGATTATTATTATTATTATTATTATCCCAAACCCCTCAATCACACATCCCGTCAATATCAATTCTTATAATGAATCGACTCTTCCAGAGATTTGCCGATGGTCAAGCACTAAAGGCATTTCAACCCCAGGTATATTCTCATCAACTGACTGCTGTGTTTTGCCCACCAGAACACACAGTCACTACACTTTACAGTATATTCTGTGAAGCGCTTAATACGTCGCTAAGATGTGATAAGGCGCCACATCAAATGCAAGGATTATTATTGTTGTTGTTATTATTATTCAGATCTCACTCTGTGGGTTTACCGAGTGCACACACACTCACGCACACGTGCACCTGTAATTGATTTGGTACACGGGTTTACACATGCTCTACCCGGAGTGCATCATACCAGCACAGTGACTAGGAATGTGTAGACATACAGCAATGACCCATTTTCATGCCATGTTTGAAATACAATTAATCGTTTTAGTGAGATACAAGCGGTCACTGTGGACAGGGTAACTGGTTCGCTCGTCCCTGCCTCCCATCATCATCATAATAATAATAATAATGTTTGCATTTGATATGGCACCTTATCATGTCGAGACGTCTCAAAGCGCTTCACAGAACATACTACAAAGCGAATTGACTATGTTTTGTGGCTGATATTTTTTTGGAAAATCCTGTGAAGCGTAGTGCTTCTCCCCCACCCCCCCGCCCCACCCCCACCTCCAGCGTGATAAGGCCAGGGTTATTAAACTGGGCCCTCTCCGAGGCTGGGAAATCGTGTCCTAGATTCACAGCCACAAATCTAGGACTTGCAGCTTCACAGGCACCAAAAAAAAAACCACACAAAAGTTTGAAGCAACAGTAAATTTCCACCAAGAATGAATTTCCAGCGGTTATAAAAACATCTGGAAAGTCCCCATCAAAGCTCGGTAAAGCCGTGGTGATTGTTAAGTGACATGGTCCCAGACGAAGGCTTAACTGTTCTTTCTGCTGTTTAACCTTTTCTTGTCAAGACCAAAAGCTGGGCTGAGCTCCTTGGAGCCGGGACTGAATCACTCCCATCTGATGCAGCGCCCGGCACGTCAGGAGGACGTCTCAAAGTGCTTCACGGGATACCCTGCGAGGTGTAGTAACGGTGCATTTGGAGGGAAAACACAGCACCCAATTGGCGGACACAGCGTAGTCCCACAAACAGCCATGAAGTGAGAGACCAATTTTATTTGGGGGAGTTTTCCCATTCCCCATCTGTTTGCTCGTGCTCAAAGCCTCGTCTGTGGCGGACTCTAGGATCCGCAGGGCACTGCTGATAACGGAGCCACCGGTTGCTGATCTGGGACCTCACCACGTCAGCAGGACTCGGGAGGAGCCGGGGTTACAGGCAAGGACTCTTCCCACTCAGATCCCGTTGTTAGCCCTACGAGCCCACAACAGGTGGAGTGCTTCTGGCTACACAAACACAAGCAGTTTCCTCACTCCACACGACTCGGTTTACCTTGCAGTAATTAGGAACAAGGTTGTTAGATCGCTTTACGGGGGTAATAATCCCTCCCCCCGAAAAACGTGGGCACTCAATCCACGAGCGTTTGTGGGGCACTGCATTTCACCCGCAACACGGTCAATCCACTTTACATTATAACCGGCGAAGTGCTTTAAGACAGCTCAACAACTCGATATTTGTTATTAAACAAATCTATCACTCATTTCACAGCGGTTCGTGGAAAAAATTAGCCGCTGTGTTTGCCTACAACAGACACACGCACAACACACACAGTCACTACACCTTGAAATCTCCAGCCTGGACCACCTTCTGATCCTGAAACGAAAGCGTTATCTGCTGAACCAGGCTGACACCGGTCCCTCCAAAGAGGGAGGCTGGTTTGAAACAAAGTACACCGAGTGGTTGCAAAATAGATGTGAATTTCGCAACCGAAACAAAAATGGGATTTTTTCTATAAAAAACCCCCCCCTACGATTAGCCAATGTAGAGCCATCAGAAACTAAGTCACGAACCTCAACAGCCCCTGAGATAACCGAGAATTCCCCTTGATATCAGCCTCCCCATCCCCAGAAATCCCAAGCAGGAGATGGCAACGAACTGGAATGAGGACGCTTCGGGACATGAAGGGCGCTGTATCAATACAAGTCGTTGTTGTTGTTGTTGTTGTTGCTGCATTTACCCCCCCTCCACCAACGTGTGGGCAGGGAGTGGAATTGATATTTTAAGGAACTCATTTCGCCGCTTACCCCCCAAAAAGACATATTTTGCTTAAAACACTTTAAGACGATAACTTTAACCCCCTGGGAACTTTAGAAAACAGTTTCAAACAAGTGGTCAGACTTTCATTACAGTGTCTCCCCTTCCTCTGCCCCCCCCATCCATCTCTCCCCCAATCTCTTAACCTGTATCTCTCTCTCCCTCCTCTCTATCTCCCCCCACCGCTCCCTCTGCTTCTCTCGCTGTAAAGAATGTAATGGACAAAAAAAAAAGCTGTCAAATTCATTGCAAGTTACATTTGCAAAAAAAAATCATCTCTTTCCCTTCCAAAAAAAACCATTCGTGTTGTTCCTATTTCGCCATCCCCCCACCCCACAAAAAAAGAGTTTTGTTCATTACCAGTCATTTGATAGAAAGACACAATGAGTCTTAAACTCCCCCTATTAACACTCATGGGTTACTGAACAACACTCATTAACACCCACACTTGGTACAGGATCCAAGGTGAAATCTAAGCCTTACCTGTCTGCTCCGCACTCTCCTCTGCACTCAAGCCGGTTGGGTCCAAAAAGGCCCAGAAAAGGAGAAAAACAACTTGAATTTCCATATCTTATTTGCTGGCACCTTTAATCCAAAGCCTTTCACCCTCTCTCTCTCTCTCACTCTCTCACACACACTCACACACAATCAGTTCCCTAATAAGAGCCAGACTGCAGTCGGCTCAGCTACAGTCTGTGGTCTCTGCCTTTTAACTGCTTACAACCAAGTAAAACAGATCGTCTGTGCGTAAAAGAAAAACAATGTGTTAGAATCTTGTTCGCTGCTACTCAAGGTTTTTGAAGCATCGGTCGGTTCTCCCTGTGTGAATACCCTCTCTCTCACTGCAGATGATTTTGTTTGTCAAACGCCACACTCTGTTAGATTGTCAATATAACACCCAGAGAGACAGACAGACAGAGAGACAGAGAGACAGAGAAATGGGCCAGAGAGATTATCCATCACACCTGACACACAACTGGTGCTTTCACCAACCAACCTGCCTCCTCCCTGCTAAACCATTCACGAAAGTGAAGGTGTGAAATTAACGCCAATGCTCCCGACTGTACCTACACCGCTACTGTCACCTATTTTTCCCACAAAATACACAGTCAATTGGCTTTACGGTATATCCCGTGAAGCGCCTCAATAACGATAAGCGCTTTGAGACGTCTCAATCACGGGATAAGGCGCTTTTATCAAATGCAAGGATAATTATTATTAATATAAGAATTTTACATTTTGAGACAGGGTGGTCTGATCTGCCGAGTTGATGACGTAAAGCGCAATACTAGGAAAGCTAAAATGATTATTTTTGAGTTATAATTATAATAATAATCATACATAAATTGGCAGTGTTTTTGGTCTGACTGACCATTGCTGAAAACCATTAAGAAATGATCTCTACAGAGCGATTTAAACTATAATAACATACTAATAATAACAATAATAATAACAGTATTAGTTAACCCTTCCGTTTGATACGCGTCAAGAGGACATTTCAAAATGCTTCACAGGATTGACTGTATTTTGTAGGCGTTATCCTGAGCCAATTTGCTCCCAGAAATGACACGCAAACAGCCACGAAGGGGGTGACTGATTTTATCTGGGGGATTTATCGGTCAGGACAGCAGAAGAGAGAACCTCAAATCATGCCACGGGATCTTTGAGGTCCACCTGAACAGGGGGCAGACGGGGAGCTTGGTTTAAGGTCTCATCCAAAGTACGATGCCTTTGACAAAACAGCACTGCATTGGAACGTCAACCTGGACTGCATTCGATTGCAAGATCCTCACACTCGTTTTCAAATCCCTTCGTGCCCTGGCACCTCCCTGCCTCTCCGACCTGTTTAGCCCCCCCAACCCACAACCCACTGCCTCCGCTCAACTGGCTCCGGCCTTGGTGCCCTCCGTTCCACCATTGGCGGTCGCGCTTTCAGCCACTACGCCCCGAATCTCTGGAACACTCTTCCTCTATCCCTCCACTGTGCCCCTTCCTTCCCCATCTTCAGGTCGCGTCTCAAGACCTTCCTCTTCGACCGTCACCTCCCCCTCTTCGCCCCCGGCTCGGTGTTGTGTTCCCCCACTGTCAAGTGCTCTGCGTGAGGGGTGCTATATACCAATGCAAGTTGTTGTTGTTGTTGTTATGAACCCGCAACTGAAGCCGGTGTTACTTTCCATCCCCAGAACAAGACCATTAAATCCATTACTTTAGTTCAAGGGCCACGTGTCCCGAGGTACCAGCCCTCCTGCGATCCGCTCATTGGAGAACAAATTAGAGCAAACTTTGCCACACAGGCAACGGCACGTATTAGAGGGGTAATCTTTTAGTCATTAAAATATTATATTAAAAGATCATTTTATCCCAGGATTTAATTTATATGCAAATTTAATAAAGTGCAAAAATTCACCAAGGAGACGAAGTACCTGGAGAAAATGCCAATGTTCCACATTTAATTTCCATGCTGCTCAATCCCAGCTCATCTACGTTTAATTTACACCTGAGTTTGGAGGTAAAGGTTGTTAATATATATATATAATGTCAGCCTGGCTCCGTTGGTAGGGCTCTCTCTCACCTCTCGGTCAGAAGGTTGTGTGTTCAAGCCCCAGTGGCTTTATGGATGAGACATTAAGGCCAGACTCACCTTGAGATCCTTCCGCAGTCTCGTTCAACCCTAACTCTGAGACCTCCACAACATGAAATGCTCGTATTAATGTAATTTGTATTGTACACAATATAAAATTACATTTGTACAGTCCCTATCATGTCGGGAGGACGTCCCAAGGACCTGGACAGTCAAGGATTTGGACCCAAGCAAGGGGGAATGGAGGGCGGGGAGGGTAGGAGGGCGGCTGAAGAGGAGGGTTTTGAGACGTGCCTTGAAGGATGCATTGGAGGGGGCGAGGGAAGGGAATGTGGGATGGAGTTCCAAAGGGTGGGGGCAGAGAGGCTGAAGGTCTGACCTGTACCTGTTCAGGTGTACATTAAAGATACTATTGGAAAAAAGGGAGTTTCTCTCTCTCTCTCTTTCTCTCTCCCAGTGCCCTGTCTGACAATCTCACCATAAATTCGTTCATTCTCTTCATAGCTGTGGGACGTTGCTACACAAAAATTGGTTGCCACGTTTGCCTACAAAACACACAGTTACTACACTTTACAGTGAAATCCTGAGACATCTAGACAACGTGATAATCCACTGTATCTAATGCAAAGGTCATTATTAATGTTATTATTACTGTTATTATTATTATGGCATAACAATGGTCAGGGGATGTTATAATCCCTTCTCTTCATTCTGCTGCGCGTAAAATTGTCAGTGTAACCAGTCTATCCCCGAGAGTGAAGACATTCATTTACATCCCGGGAGTTGTTCATTCGCAGTTACTTTCTCCATTGCGATCTTATAAATAATTCAGGACTTTTGAGATTAATAACTCTGGTTTCATAAGACATAAGATGCTTTTTTTTGGCAGCGTTCAAAGCAAACCTGATTAAATCCAGATTAACATTGCACAAGATCACAACCGGTTGGACCGACATCTGGTGTGCGATGGGTCAGGTCAGTTCTGAGCCATGAGATGATGGGATGATCTCAACAAGGACACAGGGAGAGACCATGGGAAAGATAGAAATCTTATTTGGTTTCCCCTCCGTGAAACTCACCAGATGTGGGAGATGGAGTCAGGAGGCAACCGGGAAGTCTTGGGGTCGAAGACTTTGCAGTCCAGTTAAGTTGCCGCACAAGCTTGACTGGATTTTCATCCTTTCACTCCATCCGCTCTTCGCGAAGATAGGCAAGATAGTAACTTTTCCTCTGCTCCAGCCAAGCTCAAAGCACGATCCGGCAATGAAAATTGAATCACATTTATTATTATTATTATTATTATTAATCTTACATTTGATACAGCGTCTTTCACGTCGGCAGAATGTCTCAAAGCCCTTCACAGAATTCACTGTTCGGTGTAGCGACTGTGTGTCTTGTAGGTGCGCAGCAACGTCCCACAAACAGTTATGAAGCGAATGAGCGATTGACTTCAAATAATAATAATAATCGCGTAGAGCCTGTGGGGAGGAGAGAAGAAAGAAACATATAAAAATAATAATTATTTGGTCACTCCATCCGTGACTGTTTGTGGGACGCCGCTGTGCGCAATTGGCTGCTGCGTTTCGCCCACAAAATGTACAGTCGATTCACTTTACGGTATATCCTGTGAAGCGCTTTGAGACGTCTCGAAGATGTGATAAGACGCTTTATATCAAATGCAAGGATTATTACCCCGAGACCACCGGGAGAGAGAGTCTTTTCCAATAGCGTGGCAGGATAATAATATAATAATTCTTGTGCTCCACAAGATATACTGTAAAGTAGTGTAGTGACTGTGTATTTTGTACGTGAACATCTTTAGGTCCATCTGAACAGGACACAGACAGGGGCTCAGTTTAACGTCTCATCTCTCCTCCCCGCAATTCGGTGCTTGCCCACAGCACTGAGCTCAAAGCCTTCCAATTTGGGGCTTGAACCCACAGCCTTCTGGCTCGGAGGCGAGAGAGAGCTGCCGAAGGAGACAACAACAGCAACAACAACAACACGTTACATTTGTATAGCGCCTGCCTTTCACGTCAGGAGGAAATCCCAAAGTGATGGACAGTCAGGGATCCACACCCGAGCCGGTGGTTGGAATCAGGAAGAGTGGAGGGCGGGGAGGTGAGGGGTAGGTAGGAGAGACAGGCTGAAACGTCGCCTTAAACTAGAGAGCAGAGGCAGCTCGCTCACTCATAACATAACATAACATATCAGGGCAATGATAGAGTAGATAGTGGGAGAAATTGTCCCCCGGTTGGAGAAACTAAAACCTGGCGTCACAACCATAAAATCAGAGGCCGCCCTTTCGCACTGAGTTGAGGAAGAACTTCTTCACTCAAAGGGCGGTGAATGTATGGAACTCACTACCCCAAAGGGCTGTTGACGCTCAGTGCTTGAACATATTCAAGACTGACATAGATAGATTTCTTATTGCAAAAGGGATTAAGGGATATGGGATTAAGGCAGCGTCAGGTTATTAGCTGGAGTTAGATTAGAAGATCAGCCGTGATTGAATGGCGGGGCAGGCTCGAAGGGCTGAATGGCCAACTCCTGCTCCGACATGTTATGTTATGTTATGTTATGTTATGTTATGTTATGTTATGTTATGTTATGTTATGTTATGTTATGTTATGTTATGTTATGAGAGACAGGCTGAAATGTCCCCTTAAACCAGAGACCAGAGGCAGCTCGCTCACTCGCTCTTCAGGACATCTTGTCACGAACCACCAATGTTTTTACTGGGCGGAACTCAAAAGCTGACAGTCAGAGTCTGGCTTGAGAATTGCCAGAGGCCATGTCTAACCCTTTGTTGAGAACAAAGTGTTTACAAGGCTCTTCTAATGGTCTTGAATAGCTAAACATTTGCAGAAGTGCAACACCCGGGTTCTAACATTTACTCTACACTCAGAAAGAGAAGTTAGTTTCTCCCAGTGTCCCGGCCAACAATCCTGCGATTGTGTGACGTTGCAAGGGATAATAATATAATAATCTCTTGCAACCTCAAGGGATACACCAACAACCACAACAACTTGCGCTTATATAGCGCCCCCCCATGCAGCGGGGCGTCTCAGAGCGCTTAACAGTGGCGGAGCCTGACTCCCAGCTGGGGTGGGTGGGGTGGGCTGGGGTTGCGGAGGTGACCGAAAGCACGGTCGAAGAGGAAGGCGCCCGATGGTGGATTGGGGAGTGAGGAGGTCGGAATGAGGGGGATAGGGGCAAAGACGGGTGATTGGAATTGAGGTACAGATCAGCCGTGATCTAATAGAATGGCAAAACAGGCTCCTCACCTACAA